CTGGGCCACAGTCTATGTTTGCTATAGCTCTGGCTATGTAAATGACCCTCCATAAAAACCCCAGGAACAAAGGCTTGAGTGAACCTCCCTGGCTTATAATACCGTGAACATGTTGTCACACATCTTTGCTGGGAGAATTAAGTGTGTCCCTGTCTGACTGTGATGGGAGACAACACCCAGAGTTTTGTGCCTGGTCTCCGGTGGACTTCATTCTATGTGATTTTTCCCTTTGGTGATCTTGGTCTATACCCTATAATAGTTATTTCTGAGTCTTGTGTGTACTTCTAGGAAATCATGAAAGCTCAGGTAGTGTGAGTAAACCCTGAAGAATATATAACCTAAAATGTCAAAATGATTTAGGCCATTCATCCACTTATCTATTCAGCAAATATCTGAATATCTACTACTGACTAGGAACTATGTGCATGGAACGACTAGGGTAAAATCCCTATTAACATCTCTAACATCTCTGCTCTTTTGAAGCTGAAAATCTAGTTGGGCATAAGAGTTATGCAAGATGAAACATAGTAAACCAGGCACCTCCCAGACCAGATAAAGGCTAAAGGATTGGCCATGTAATATTTGGGAGGTTTTCTTTTTTTTTTTTTTTTGAGACGGAGTTTTGCTCTTGTTACCCAGGCTGGAGTGCAATGGCGCAATCTCAGCTCACCGCAACCTCCGCCTCCTGGGTTCAGGCAATTCTCCTGCCTCAGCCTCCTGAGTAGCTGGGATTACAGGCACGCGCCACCATGCCCAGCTAATTTTTGTATTTTTAGTAGAGACGGGGTTTCACCATGTTGACCAGGATGGTCTCGATCTCTTGACCTCGTGATCCAACCGCCTCGGCCTCCCAAAGTGCTGGGATTACAGGTGTGAACTACCATACCTGGCCGTGATTTGGTTTTTATCCCAAGAGTTAAAGGAAGCTGTAAAACGTTTTAAGGAAATGTAGTGGGGCACAGCGAGGGGGAAGTAGAGCACTATTAAATCTGAGATGGTTCTCTGGTTTCAGCTTAGAGAATGGATTGAAGAGAAAATGTGGGTAAAAGGAAACTCAGTAAATTGAAATGATAGATGACTGGATGGACTAGGAGAGAAGTGGAAATACTTGAGAGACATTTCATACTTAAAAATGGCGACTTTCTGGTTGCATATGAGGGAAGAAGAGATTGAGATAACCGTGGTGAGCTGGAAGTTTCTGGCCCAGGTAACAGTGCCATGCAGTAAAGAGAGAGGACTGAAGTAGATCAGGGTCAGGGAGAAGCACTTCACTGATCTCATTTACATCGGGTAAGGAATGAGGTATCTTTGAAACACCTATGTGATGACAGCAAGAAGATAACTGGTAATTCAGGTCGAGAGCTGTGAGGATTGCTCAAGACTGGGGTATTATGTTTTCAGTGCCTTCAAAGTAAGAAAGATAATTGAAGCCAAGGGCACAGACGGGGCCTGCGGGGAGACCATATGAGGCAAAAGAGCCTTGGACAAAACCTTCAGGTATTTCAACACTAAGTGGACAGCTAGATATGGATGACTGCACAAAGGAGGGAGAGAAGGAGGGGACGAACGGCGAAAAAGATGTGACGGAGCCCAGGAAGGAGAACATGTTTCAAAAATTGAGTATTAGACACAATGAAATTCTATTGATGGCCCAAGAAAGACAAGGACTTGTGGTTTAGAAGCATGAAGTCACTTCTGACCTTAGTCACAGTTTCGGAGAAGGTGGCACTGTAGCAAGGAGTTTCACCAAGAGTAGAGGTTTGGGAAGTGGAGACAAGTAAAGCGATAAAGAGGTAATGGAGAAGTAAAAATATGACACAAGGAGGAAAACAGCTCCAAGAGGCTCCTCCGTCAGAGGAGCAGGGGGAGGAGAGGACAAATAATCCAGCTGGAGAAGCCCACACCCACCCGGAAAGATGAGAGTGCGGAAGTCGGTTATGCAGAGATGACCTAGGAAGGCTCAGAGGGACACAAGAACATGCAGATGGAAAACAGGCTTGTAGGTGGCCGTGACATCTAAGGCAGATCTCAGGAGGAAACTCAAGATTGCAGAGGAGGCGATCACTGCTTACGTGTGATTGAGGGATTGGCGGGAGACGAAGTGAGAAGGGAGCACGTCAAACGTGTCATTTTACCCCGGAGCAGGGATGTGGAGTGGCACTGGGAAGAGCAAAAGCAGCAAACAGACACGCTGAAAAGGCTGCACAACTGTTAACGCTGTAGGTCGTAAGAGAGTCAATGCAGATGCCTGAGGGTATCAAGAAAACATGATGTCGGGAGGGCTGAAAAGTAATAAACAGACGCTTCTTCCTTCAAACCTCAAACAGTTTGGAGAAATGAGACAAGAGTGTCTGTATGTCGGGCCCCCAGCTAGTTGTGCTTTGCCTTCTTCAGAAGTCCAGCAGTAGGAAGGGCATCTGGAACTATTTTTCTGAAGTCTTGACTACTGAGATCACTGGGATCCCATCAGCGCAGTGGTCCCTTGAATGCCTGGTTGCTAGTAATTCACGTAAACAGTCCCTCCTTGGCATTGACCCATCCCCCAATCCATGGTTCCATACCATCTTGACTCAGTACTCTAGAAATCACAGGGAAATGTGACTTCCATGTAATGGACTGAGTAGGCATTTTGAAAGGCCAATTTTATTATTCAGATATGGTGAGGCCAACAGATCAGGAGATACTGCCATTAAAATACTTGGCTATTGGCCAGGCACAATGGCTCACGCCTGTAATCCCAGCACTTTGGGAGGTCAAGGCAGGCAGATCACGAAGTCAGGAGATCAAGACCATCCTGGCCAACATGGTGAAACCCCGTCTCTACTAAAAATACACAAATTAGCTGGGTGTGGTGGCGTGTGCCTATAATCCCAGCTATTTGGGAGGCTGAGACGGAAGAATCGCTTGAGCTAGGGAGCTGGAGGTTGCAGTGAGCCGAGATGGCACCACTGCACTCCTGTCTGGCAACAGAGTGAGACTCCACCTCAAAAAAAACAAAAAGAGAAAGAAATACTTAGCTACACAGAGTTCCCAAGAAAGGGGCACACATGAGGCACTGTAGGACCACATGGGGAAGCAGCAGGACCGGAAAAGCGGGAGTAGGGGGAAGCACGGGCAAGAGCCTTCACTGTGCTTCTACCAAGTAAGGATGGTCAAGACAGGGTCAGCAAGCTAAGCAGGCTTAGGCTGGGCTTTCTGATTTTTTTTTTTTTTTTTGAGACAGGTTCTCATTCTGTCACCTAGGCTGGAGTACAGTGGTACCGTTGTAGCTCACTGCAGCCTCAACCCCTGGATCATTTAATACTCTCACCTCAGCCTCCCAAGTATAGGCATACACCACCATGCCTGATTATTACATATTTTATAGAGATGGGGTCTCACTATGTTGCCCAGGCTGTTCTCAAATTCCTGGATTCAAGCGATCCTCCCACTTAAGCTTCCCAGAGGGCTGAGATTACAGGCCTGAATTTCATTAGGGACTGTCCCCATTTGCTTAATATTTGACCCTGAAGTGGTTACGACAGGAAGATAGTGGCTCCATGTGTGAGGCCTTGATAAAGGGGGTGGTAGGAGGGAATGGGCACTCAATTGTTTGGTTGCATATGAAAGGCACATACCCAGGTGAGATCTTTGCTACCACATAAAATTATCTAGTCCTGGGATGGGCAGTCGGTCAGGATCAGCAAGGCCCCACTTGCCAAACAACTGAATAGCTAGTACAGTGGCTCATGCCTATAATCTCAGCACTTTAAGCCTGAGGTGGGGGTTTTACTTCAGCCCAGGAGTTTGAGGCTGCCGTGAATTATGATGGCACCACTGCACTCCAGCCTGAGTGACAGTGAGACCCCTCTCTAAACAAACAAAGCCAGCATAATAACACATGTGAATACCTGGATCTCCAATTAAAATGAGGCAGAGTAGCTATGAATGTCCTTTCCCGCAGGTAAGAGCAAGGACAGAAAGTATAAGCAGGTCGTCTGTCTCCCAGGTCCACACTTGACACTGCTGCAAGAGGCAAAAGAAACTGTCCATTTACAACTTAGCTGAGAACATTCAACTGTGATATGAAACACAGATTTTGCTACAAGCAAAAATAACCCATTTCTTATCAATCATTAAAAATCTTCAGTCCTCAAAATTAAAATACATCACTGAGCATTGTGGAGCCTCCTCAGCTTCCCACAATGGAAAGGCTGGCTGTGGGCCAGAGTTGAGTACAAAGAGGAGCTACACATACGAGAGACCAGATTCCTCAAGGTCTCTAGCACCATGTCTCTGTAAGGGCCCTCTCAGCTGGCGCCAACTGCTCCCACTTCCTCCAAGTGAAACTCACAGATAGATCCATGGAAGTGACTAAGCCTGGAACAACATATTTTTTTTTTGAGACGGAGTTTCGCTCTTGTTACCCAGACTGGAGTGCAATGGCGCAATCTCGGCTCACCGCAACCTCCGCCTCCTGGGTTCAGGCAATTCTCCTGCCTCAGCCTCCTGAGAAGCTGGGATTACAGGCACGTGCCACCATGCCCAGCTAATTTTTTGTATTTTTAGTAGAGACGTGATTTCACCATGTTGACCAGGATGGTCTCGATCTCTTGACCTCGTGATCCACCCGCCTCGGCCTCCCAAAGTGCTGGAATTACAGAACATATTCTTTAATCTCAAATTATCCACATCTAGTGATACAGGAATTATTATCAACCCCATATTCTTCAACTATCTCTGTTGTGGCCAGAACAACAGAGACAGCAAGAACAAACAGTGGATGAGGAACTGACACGTGCTACTGAAAGGACACAGCATTTACCTACCCATCACATCTTTGCCGAAATAAAAGCCAACAAAGGTGCATTTGCAAGTCAAACCACCTGAAGCGTATCTGTGAAAGACCCTTTCTCACAAGACTCACCACTGAATTCAATCCTGGCTAGTTTGTTTAGTATTTTCACTGTGATTGATTTTTTTTTCTTGGTTACAGTGTTTTACAGGTATATAAGCCTTCATTTCAAAGCTATAGTTTATTTTTGTTATAGAAAATTTTATTTGCGTAATGTTACAGAAATGTAAGCTGACTCAACATTTTCCCACTTAAGTCACTGTGAAAAAGAGACAACGCAGCAGGCCAGAGACTGCTATTGTTTGATCTTGCAAGGTTCACCCTTGGCTGCAGTCTGGGACTTTAGGTTTTGGGAGGTTTCCCGTTGTTCCCAGTAATGAGAAGTAGCTCCCTGTGCCGAAATTGCCTGTGTAAACCACGTGGCTTCGGCTGAACACCTCCTGTTCTTCTGGAGGTCGAGAGTTATGGTGTGTGCTAGGAAATGAGTCCAATACTAACTCTGAGCAAAGGGTGCCCTGTAAGACTTTCTCTCACATGTTGTTCTAAGTCCCAGATGGAGCTTCAATCAAGCACATCCTGTGTGATTTATATTGAGGTAAGATCATCGAAGATGGTGCCTGGTTTCTTCGGGACTTCAGTCTGAGCCTTTTCCTTTTACCGAGTTTGCTTTGGATTCTTTCAGTGTGGTACATCACAGCCACTGAGTATGACAAAATGCTGCGTCCTGTGAGTCTTTCTAGCAAATCATCGAATCTGGACGGGGCCTTGAGGACTCCAGCAGTCATTCATTCTGATTTCTAAAATTGTGTACATAGGTCCATAAACGTCCATGTAGTTTCTCTTTGGGGTCAAGGTATGCCATATATGGTGCCACCTATATGCACAGCTCTGTGGTAAACATGGCAGGGAAACTAAAAATTCTAATAATAAAAATACTCTGCTGTGTATGGCCGTACACCAAAACACACATATACACTGAGGGTCTATTAAGGAACAAAAAGGAATGGGGCAGCGGTTGGGTGTGTGGATGATAAAGGAAAAGGAAATGGCCACAATGTGTCTGGTTTGAGTAACAAGACAGAAATTACGGGGACTAGCTGATGTTCTCCAGGCAGCTCAATCCACCTAAAACCACATGCATGCCGTAGCCCTTCTCTACTCCTTCTCCCCACCCGCTCCCACATTTCCTCAAACCCAGATAGAGATTCTCTGTCTTTTCTAGTCACACCAGCTTATGCAGGCATTGAAGAGTGAGTTTGGTTTATCTCATTTGCTTGAAAGAATGGACAAGATGTACTATCAAATGAGAATATATTATAAATAAATGAGCACAGTTTGACCCATTTTAGTAAAAATAAGTGGTGACCAGGAAACAAAAACCCACCTAATGAGAAGCAATAAAGAGATAAGGACATGGATTCTGAAATCGGCGTAGTGGCTTCCAAAACCCTCATTTCATAACTGTGAGACCTTTGACAAATTCCTTAATCTTTCTGTACCTCAGTTTTGTCATTTGTTAAAGGGAGAAAATAACACTGTGCACCACTTGGAGCTGTCATAAAGGTGAAAAGAGCTGATGCGTGTAAAACGTTCAAAACAACGTCTGATACACAGTAATACTGTAGTTTTTCTTATGACGATTACGGGTGCATCTCCATGGCCAAGGTCATGGCCACATGATACATGCATATAGGCTCAGTGAGTATAAATACAGAAAAGGCGTGGAATGGTGATGACATGAGAAACATCCAACCTGGAGACATGGATTTGGGGAAACTCTGTGCATCACTGAGAGTAAAGTGTCTTCAGCGCAAATTAACTTAGGGTGAATGACAAGTTAGACAACAGCAAGGATCACGACAGATGGTGGGAAGTAAACCTGTTTTACAGACGGAAGAGAGACACAGACCCTAGAAAGGAAAACAAAAGGAATTCACAGAGGCCAGGAAAGGACCTTCAAGTCAGAGATTTAGCAGTAGAGAGGCTCAAAAAGAGAGCCGGGGGAGGGAGAGGGGGTCAAAAGGGACTTTTGCGAGACCTGCTTAAGACAGGGGTGGAAGTTGCCATTTAGTAGCAGTATCTGGGGAGTAAAAGAAAATGTAAAGGGGTGGGGACAGGTAGTGCACAGAATAGTTACTCAGGGCGTGTGTGTGAGAAAAAGAAGGAATAAGCAGAGCTTGACAGGCAAGGAAGGATGAAACAGGTTGGAAATGAGGCTTGAAATAGGAAAGCTATAGATTATGGGAAAGAAGCTGCTTAATAAGGAGAAGCCTAAACAACAGAGTATGAAGAAAAGAGGATCAGGCCGGGCGTGGTGGCTCACGCCTGTAATCCAAGCACTTTGGAGGCCAAGGCGGGTGGATCACCTGAGGTTGGGAGTTCAAGACCAGCCTGACCAACATGGTGAAACCTCGTCTTTAAAAAAAAAAAGAAAAACAGAGGATCTAGACAAGTTTGGTTGGGGAGGGGTATGTGGGTCTGATAACAAAGGGTTCAAGCAATCTTAGAAGAGGAATGATTCCTTCTCCACTGAGGCTATGACGAGGCTTACAGAGCTGGAGAATGTTACATACAGCCTTCCCCTGGAATACACAGCTCTGAATGGTATGCAGATCACCCTCCGTTATAAGATCTGTTAACAGAAATGTTAAAGGAGCCCAGTATAAAAGACGACAGGACTTCTACTCCAAATAATTCAGGATTTCTATTCAAATACTGAGACAAACCACCAGAAAACCATGACTTTGCAACTGAGTTTTGTCTGTTTTCTGAGTCCTTTAGTATTAACAACTAAGCAAAGAAATAAAAGATGTACAAAAGAACCAAATTAAACAACTAAAAAATACAAAACCCAAAATGAAAAGTCATGGACAAGCTCAACAGACTACATATGGCAGAAAAAAGAATCAGTGAGCTGAAAAAAGTCGATAGAAATTAACCAACATGAGAAAAGGGGAAAAAGAGACCAGAAAAAGGGGGTAAAAATGAAAGCACAAGAGACCTGTAAGACAGTAACAAATCACTGGAGTGCCAGAGAGGAGAAAGAATAGAGGTGATAAAATACTTCAAGAAATTAATGGTTGAAAATTCCCAAATTTGGCAAAAGGCATAAACCAACAGATCAAAAAGCTGAAGAAAAACTCAAAAAAATTCCACATCACAAATCTCATAACCAAACTTGTGAACACTACAAAAAACAAAACAAACAGAAAAACCCCACTGTGAACGCAGGCTGATAAAAACGACACGCTTAGAAACTAGGGAACAAGGTTCAAATGGTAACAGACTTCCCATCTGAAACCACAGTGGACAGAAGGAAGCAACGTGTTTCTCAAATACTGAAAGAACTGCAGACCTTAAATCCTATATCCCACAAAAATATCCCTCAGGAATGCAGGGAACATAAAGACCCTTTTAGAGAAAGGGAACCAAAGAACACCTGTCACCAGCAGACGGAGCCTAGGAAAAAGGCTACAAGTTCACCAAACAGAAAATGTTAATAGAAGGTGGCTTACAATTTCAAGAAAGAAGAACAATGGAATGGGTAAAGAGATCAACAAGCAATACTCCCTGTGGCTTCTGTAAGATATATTTGACAGTTGAAGCAAAAATTACATTTTCCAACATGGTGCTCAATTTTGAAGAGGAACTACTTTAGACAATTATATTAACAGGCAAGGTAAAGGGACCAATGGAAGTAAGGTTTCTATACATCTAAGTGCTAAACTTTCCATACCATTAACTGTAATTATGTTACATATGTACAGGGGACTACCCAAAGCAACCACTAAAAAATTAATACAAAGAAATATATTTAAAACACTACAAATATATCAAATGGAATTCTAAAAAACTGTTAAAAGACCAAAAAAAAAAAAAAAAAAAAAAAACCCAAAAAACCCAAGGAAAAAAACAGCAGAACACACACACACACAAAATCATAAAATAGCAGACATAACACTAACATAATTACCGTAAACTTAAAGGGTCCAAATACACCAATAACAGACAGAAGTATGCAAGCTGGGGTCAGGCAGAGTGACTCAGACCTGTAATCCCAGCACTCTGGGAGGCTGAGGCAGGCAGATCACCTGAGGTCATCAGGAGTTCAAGACCAGCCTAGCCAACATGGTGAGACCTCCTCTTTACTTAAAATACAAAAATTAGCTGGGTGTGGTGGCGGGCACCTGTAGTCCCAGCTACTTGGGAGGCGGAGGCAGGAGAATCGCCTGAACCTGGGAGGCGGAGGTTGCAGACTGCGCCACTATACTCCAACCAGGACCACAAAGCAAGACTCTGTCTCAAAAAACAAAACAAAACAAAAAACAAAAACAAAAAAACTAGATATAAAATCACAACCTGAATATATGCTCTTCACAAGAAACTTACTCCAAATATAGTGATAGAGATCAGGTTTAAAAAAGTATAAATCATGCAATCATTAACCAGAAATGTAAGAGGGACCATGTAAGTATTAGATAAAGAAATGATAAGAGTATTAACCGGAGCAATAAAGGACATTGCATAATTACAACAGGGTCAGTATACCAAGAATACCAAGCAAACCTACGCGTGTATGTACCAAACAACAGAGCTTTAAATTATGCGGAGCAAAAACTGATAGAACTTAAGGGAGGAATAGATAATTCCACAATTACAGTTCAGGACTGCAACATCCCTCTCTCAGCAATTGACAGAAATACTACACAAAAAATCAGCAAGGACGCAGGAGACCTAAGTAACACCACAAACTAACAGGCTCATACAAACATTTAGAGACACTTTACCCAGTGGCAGCAGAACACACATTCTTTTCAAGCAGCTGTGTAAAACAAGACAGCCTATATCCTGGGGCATAAGGAAAAAAGTCAACAAATTCAAACAGTAACATCAAATGTAAAACAAATTAGATATCAGTAACAAATAAACAGCATGGAATACTCCAGACACTGTTAAACACTACACTTCTAAATAATCCATGGTTTAGAGAAGATGTCTCAAAAGGAATCAGGACAACTTAGAACTAAGATAATCAAAAACATATTAAAACTTGTGGGATGAAACTAACAGCAGTATAAAGAAAACGTATAGAACTTAAAGCTTATATTAAAAAAGAAAAAAGCCTTAAATCCATAACCTAAATATCCACCTCAAGAAACCACTGAGTCAGACACAATCAAAGCCAAGTAGACGAAAGGACACGATACAGATCAGAGCAGGTATCAGTGAAATGAAGAACAGAGAGTGGAGAAAAATCAGAAACAGAAAGTGCTGTTTCTTTGAAATGCTCAGTGAAACTGACGTATGTCTACAAAGACTGACAATGATAAGTGATACATTTCCAGTATCAAGAATACAAGGAACATGAGTACAGATCCAGCTGCCATCAAAAGGATAAAAGGTAGTATTTAAAAGAACGCGACAAATTAGAAAATTTACATAAAATGAACAATTCCCTAAGAAAATCTATAAAAATTCATTCAATATGAAATACTCTGAATAGTTCTATAGCTATTAAATAAAATAAATACGTAATTAAAAAGCATCTAGAAGTAAATCTCCGGTCCCACTTGTTCACTGGAGAATGCTATCGAACATTAGACAAATAACACTGATTCTACATACTATCTTCCAAAAAAGCAGAAGAGAATTCCTTCCAATTCATGTTGAGAGGCTATTTATCATCTAGACATCGGAACCAAGTAACATCTATCATTATCACTCATGAAATTACAGGAAAACTTCCTCAACAAAATACTAGCAAATGAAATACTGCAGCATGGTATATATAGACAATTATACTCCATGACCAAGTAGGGCTTATCACAAGGATGTGAGGCTGGTTCAATACTCAAAACTCAATCAACGTAATACATCCTATCAACTGACTACGGAAGTAACAGCATATAATTAAATCAACTGATGGAGAAAAAGCATATGACAAAATTCAATGCTTCTTAATAAAAAAAAATCAAATTAGGAATAGAGGGAAACTTTCTAAACTCAACAGGGAAACTTTTTGGAAGAAACTCTGAACATCATACTAATAGGAAAGTGTCTTTTTGATTTGGGTAGAAAAAAAAAAAGGAAAAAAATAAAATAGAGAAACTGAACATTTCCCCCTAATATCAGGAACAAGGCATGGATGACTTGTCACTCTTCACATTCAGCATCACACTGGAAAGCCGACCTTCTACAATAACATGAGAAGAGCAAATAAAAGGTTTACAGATGCGGAGTAAGAAAAAACTGTCCCAAATTGCAAATGACATTTCTATGTTTAAAATCCTAAGGATTCTCCCAAAAGAAATGAAAGAAACAATGAGTTTAGGAAGGTTGCAAGACAGTAAAATAAGACTGAAAAAATAATTATGTTTCTGTTTCAGTATCACGTGAAATTGAAATTTTGAGTATCAATGCTATTGATAATCACTCAAAAAACTATGAAGCTATAAATCTTATTTAAAATGTACAGGAGCTATATTGTGTAAACCGTAAAACAGTAATGAAATATATCAAAGAATATTTAAATAAATGAAAAGGTATGACATGTTCATGAACTGAAAGGCTAATAAAGATGCCGATTCTCAACATACTGATCTGCAGACTGAACTCAATTTCTATCAAAATCCAAGCAAGAATATGTAAAAAACAGAAAAGCCAATCCTAAAGCATATACGGAGCGCCAAAGAAACTAGGAATGCTAAATGAATTTTAAGTAAAAATAGTAAGAAAGAAATCACATTACCCTTTTGAGATTTACCGTACAGCTACAGCAATCAAGTGAACCAAAAGATAGGAATCAAGGAAAATTCTGAGTGTCAGTGCTTAAACCCCATTAAAAAAGGATTTTAAAAATCAAAGACCTAAACCGTCTTAACTGGTGCGATAAAATGTGCGCATTCATGTTTCCTTTTATCGTTAAGTATAAAAGTATTTCATAACTCGAGCCTTCATGTTTGTCATCAAAACAAGTGCTTCCCAAGAGACAGTGTGGTAGAACAAAGACATCGTGTTCCCAGACCTTCCCTTACTTTCCTGACATAGGACAGAAGTGTACACACAAGATGACAGTATCAAAGAAGCAGTGTTTGCATTTCATTCTTTTCTATGTCACCTCTTTTTATAAAAATTCCTGAGATAACGCTGCCCTGTAAACTACTGAGAAAGATGGAGCTGAAGGTTTTCCTAAGTGCATCGTAACCACTGGGTGTTTTTCCAGGATGAATTCAGACGGAGAATAAGGCTCTCAGCTGTGTGATTTTCTAATATGACTCCTTAGGTGACAGATCATATTCTGCAACAGGTTTTCTCACAGTGAAGACACCTGTGGGGTTTCTCTTTGGTATGGCTGATCAGAAGCCATGTAAGATGCTTCCTCTTGCAAAAGATTTTCCTCAGTGGTGACATTCAAAAAGTTTTTCCCCAGTAAAAGTTCTTCGATGTTGACTGAGGTCTGCCCACTTGTGAAAGGTCTTCCCACATCTGTTACACTGATAGGATTCCTCCCAGTGTGCATCCTTTGATGCTGAGTGAGGGATGAGCTGCGACTGAAGGCCTTTCCACATTCACTGCACTCATACGGCTTCTCCCCGGTGTGGATGATGGAGTGTCGAATGAGGTTTGTGCTCCAGCAGAATGTCTTCCCACACTCGATGCATTCATAGGGCTTCTCTCCACTGTGAATCCGCTGGTGCCTTGTGAGGCCTGACCTGCGGTTGAAAGCCTTTCCACACTCCATGCACTCATAGGGCTTCTCCCCAGTGTGGATGCTGAAATGTCGAATGAGGTCTGCCCGATTGCTAAAGGCTTTCCCACATTCTTTGCACTCGAAAGGTTTTTCTCCAGTGTGGGCCCTTTTATGCAAGATAAAAGTAGAGCAGTGGGTGAAGGCCTTTCCACACTCACTGCACACATAAGGCTTCTCCCCAGTGTGAATCCGCTGGTGCCTCTTGAGGTATGACCGGTGGTTGAAAGCCTTCCCACACTCGAGGCACTCAAAGGGCTTCTCCCCAGTGTGGATGACATAGTGGTGAATGAGGGCTGCGCTCTCACAGAAGGCCTTCCCACATTCACTGCACTCATAGGGCTTCTCCCCTGTATGAGTCTGCTGGTGCCACATGAGGTATGACCTGTGTTTGAAGACCTTGCCACATTCGAAGCACTCGTAGGGATTCTCACCACTGTGGATGATGTAGTGTCGAATGAAGCCTGGCCTATCTCGAAAGGCTTTGCCACACTCTTTGCACACAAAGGGTTTTTCCCCAGTGTGGCTCCTGTTATGCAGGACAAAAGTGGAGCGGTGGGTGAAGGCCTTTCCGCATTCACTGCACTTGTAAGGCTTCTCTCCACTGTGAATCCGCTGGTGCTGTGTGAGGTGTGATTTGCGGTTAAAAGCCTTCCCACACTCCATGCACTTATAGGGCTTCTCCCCAGTGTGGACCATGTGGTGCTGCAGGAGGTATGTACTCTTGCTAAAAGTTTTTCCACACTCTGTGCATTCATAGGGCTTCACTCCAGAGTGAATCCTCTCATGCCGAGCAAGCAGGCGTTTCTTGTTAAACACTTTTTCACATTCATTGCATTTAAAAGTATTTTCCTCTTCTTGAATAACTGGATTTTTACCTGATCCATGTGAGTCACAGTCATGGACATCATCTCCTAAGGAGACTTGATCCTGTGTAATCCTTGGACACGCACTCTCAGCTGTCCCTAAACCATCAAGTTTGGGGCTCATTTTTCTAGGAAGTGTCTCCTTTTGGGAATCTGTCCCTGGTTGCAGGTGTTCTCCCTGCATTTCTGAAAACCCATCCTGATCCTTGGGCTGCCCCAACTGGAAGTCTCCGGAAGCTCCTTGTCCAAGTCGGCCCCAGAATGGGATTCCTCCAGACAAGCCGGGCTCACGAGTGGTAGGTTCTGTGTTCTCGGCTTTTCCTTTGTCACCTGAAAGAAATCCAACACACAGGAGGGCCTGTTAGGAATGTAAAAAGAGAAGAAACAAAATCACCACTTCAGGAAAGAAAATGAAGTTATAAACGGTGCCTTTATGTCTGTTATATTTTGCCATATTGAACCCCAGATACATAATTTGTTTCTTCTCTTTTCCTTGGATTTCTGACTCCTTGAAAAAGAGACCAAGCAGAGAGATCAGGTGAGGGAACAGGGACTAGAGTGGAGCTGTCGCCTCAATTAGAGACTGAATATTTATATAAAGGTAACTCATTATGGGCTCCTAAATAGTTTAACCTAAATAGACGACTCTGGCTGACGTCTGGTGGCACCAGAAAGGTTAGGCCTCTGAGCCACAAGATACCAGCTGAACTCTAGAAAAGGAATGAAGGCTGGGAACTTCACAGGGCAATGTGGGCAATGCCACGTGGGCAATGATTTGATAAACTGTGCTTACGTAATAAAGCTCAATAAACCCTAAAAAGCAGAGCTTCAGTGGGCTTCGGGGGCTCGCAATACTCTGTGCACATCTTTTCACACATCACTGCTGGGTGGGTGACATGTCACTGAGGAAGCTTTGTGTCAGCTCCATATCCTGTCTCTTCTAATCTGTATGCTTTGTCTGTAATAAACGTAACTGTGAGCTTAATAGGTTTTAGAGAATTTTGTGAGTCTTTTTAGCAAGTTATGAAAGCTGAGGGTGGTTTCAGGAAATCCCTGAATTTGCAGTTGCAGTGAGAGGATTTGGGTAGACCTGAAAGTCCCGGAGGACTGTGTCCTCAATCTTGAGTTTGGCTGATCCTGGGAAGAACATCAAGACAGCTTTCCAGTAGAAGGTACCCAATGCAGTAAGTCCTACTGGTCACAAGACGAAGTGGGACAGACAGAACGTACAAAGGAGCTACAGCACACGAGTGGATGGTGTTGGTGAGAGGCAGAGGGGAGCTGATTCCCAAGATTCTGACTAGGTGACAGCTGTGAAGAGCAGTGCCACTCCCAGGAAAGGGCTCCTAAGGCCGTGTGGTACTGGCACAGACGTAATGCAAACTGGGAATAGAGGAAAAGAGAGACTTCGGAAATCCTCTTACACATGGCTGGGGCTTTGGTACATGGCAAGGAGGCACCTCAGTGGTGAGAGAGCACTGAGGACACGGAGCTAGAGACACTGCCTGCCCACGTGAGGGATGGAATACTGCACTCTACCACATTCCATGCTGAAGACCAACTTCAGACGGATACAGACTCAAAGGCCAAATGGCAGGTTTTACACCTTACAATAAAACAAGCAAGAATACCTTTCTGATATTGGGGAGGGCAACATGTTTTCCACATGGCACAAAATAATCAGGTAAATAAACCATAAATCAGACTGCACTATGTAAGAAACTAGAAACTCTAGTGAACAAAGGATACTTTCAGAGAGTGGAAGGACAAAATTAAAAACTAGACAAATACACCTGCAGCAAATATAACCGATAAGCGATAGGTACGCAGAATGTATACAAATCAAATCAAAAAGAGAAAGCCAAACCGCTTAGCGGAAAAATAGGCATTTATCATCAAATAACACCCCACAGAAGAAAATACAGATTGACCAAGAATCACGTGAGACACTAAAGCACCTTACCAATGAGGAAAATGCAAATCAAGAGCACAAGAGATCCATCTGATCAGCAAAAATGGAGGGGCCTTCTAGTTTCAAGTACTACATAGGATACGGAGCAATGGAAACATCTAAAAATTCCTGAGAGAAATTTTTTGACATAGGTCCTTTAGAAAACAGTGGAAATGATCTTGCAAACTACAACATTTGCATAGTCCATAATCCAATTATTTCACTCCAGAAACATGAGAAATGTGACCCTACACATGTGAAAGATGAACAACATATATGAATGTCCACAGCATCACTGACTATGGAGGATAAAAACATGTAAACAATTAATCCTCAGACAGGGACTGAATATAGGAATACATAGTGAATCATGGACATTTATTTGTTTTATTTTCTTCAAAGGTGAGGAAGTTGAGCATGTTTTTATGTTGAGTACAGAAAGGATCAAGTTACAAAACAGGCAGAATATACGTGAAGAAAACATGTCCATGAAAAGGCGTGATGTAAACTGTTGAAAAAACGGACCGTGGCCAAGGGCAAGACCTCTTCCACCAGGGGAAAGGAAGGCTACTGATGGGGGAGGTTGAGATGAATGAGTAAGGGTTGCTGACGAAGCAGTGTAAGTAGATGATGCTGCCGACATGAAAACCTGCTGATACGCCAGCGGCAGTCATGCTGAGACACGGGTGGGTGGGGAAGAAAGGTCTGAATGCAGGAAAAAGAGCTGACCAGAGGCATAAAGCAGATACTAATATCCTGAATGCTGGAGTACCCCATGCAGGAAAAAGAGCTGACCAGAGGCATAAAGCAGATACTAATATCCTGAATGCTGGAGTACCCCAGGCAGGAAAAAGAGCTGACCAGAGGCATAAAGCAGATACTAATATCCTGAATGCTGGAGTACCCCAGGCAGGAAAAAGAGCTGACCAGAGGCATAAAGCAGATACTAATATCCTGAATGCTGGAGTACCCCAGGCAGGAAAAAGAGCTGACCAGAGGCATAAAGCAGATACTAATATCCTGAATGCTGGAGTACCCCAGGCAGGAAAAAGAGCTGACCAGAGGCATAAAGCAGATACTAATATCCTGAATGCTGGAGTACCCCAGGCAGGAAAAAGAGCTGACCAGAGGCATAAAGCAGATACTAATATCCTGAATGCTGGAGTACCCCAGGCAGGAAAAAGAGCTGACCAGAGGCATAAAGCAGATACTAATATCCTGAATGCTGGAGTACCCCAGGCAGGAAAAAGAGCTGACCAGAGGCATAAAGCAGATACTAATATCCTGAATGCTGGAGTACCCCAGGCAGGAAAAAGAGCTGACCAGAGGCATAAAGCAGATACTAATATCCTGAATGCTGGAGTACCCCATGCAGGAAAAAGAGCTGACCAGAGGCATAAAGCAGATACTAATATCCTGAATGCTGGAGTACCCCAGGCAGGAAAAAGAGCTGACCAGAGGCATAAAGCAGATACTAATATCCTGAATGCTGGAGTACCCCAGGCAGGAAAAAGAGCTGACCAGAGGCATAAAGCAGATACTAATATCCTGAATGCTGGAGTACCCCAGGCAGGAAAAAGAGCTGACCAGAGGCATAAAGCAGATACTAATATCCTGAATGCTGGAGTACCCCAGGCAGGAAAAAGAGCTGACCAGAGGCATAAAGCAGATACTAATATCCTGAATGCTGGAGTACCCCAGGCAGGAAAAAGAGCTGACCAGAGGCATAAAGCAGATACTAATATCCTGAATGCTGGAGTACCCCAGGCAGGAAAAAGAGCTGACCAGAGGCATAAAGCAGATACTAATATCCTGAATGCTGTAGTACCCCATGCAGGAAAAAGAGCTGACCAGAGGCATAAAGCAGATACTAATATCCTGAATGCTGGAGTACCCCAGGCAGGAAAAAGAGCTGACCAGAGGCATAAAGCAGATACTAATATCCTGAATGCTGGAGTACCCCATGCAGGAAAAAGAGCTGACCAGAGGCATAAAGCAGATACTAATATCCTGAATGCTGGAGTACCCCAGGCAGGAAAAAGAGCTGACCAGAGGCATAAAGCAGATACAAATATTAGGTTTTGGGAATCTATTAACATCCCCTAGAAAAAAAGATGGTAAGAACTTAGAAGAGCACAAGGAGGGCAGGTGTGGTGGCTCACGCCTGTAATCCCAGCACTTTGTAAGACTAAGGCAGGTGGCTTACCTGAGGTCAGGAGTTCACGACCAGCCTGGCCAACATGGAGAAACCCCTTCTCAACTAAAAATACAAAATTAGCTGGGCGTGGTGGCGCATGTCTGTAATCCCAGCTACTCGGGAGGCTGAGGCGGGAGAATCGCTTGAACCTGGGAGGTGGAGGAAGTTCTGGTGAGCCAAGATTGTGCCACTGCACTCCAGCCTGGGCAACAAGAGTGAAACTCCATGTAAAAGAAAAAAGAAAGCAGAAGGATAGGTCTGATGGAGGTGGTAGAGGGATGAATTCAGGAGACATGTATTATGTGAAATCAAAAGGATCTCGAGATGGCTGGATGCAGGGACTCACGTAGGAGGTGGAGGGGTTGACCTGTCTGAGGCTGGGTCCAGTCCCCTAATAATCCTTCTGGATGGCAGAACCATTCACTGGAACTTGGCAGGTGGTGGGAACGAGCATGGTCATGGGTTCCTTCTTAGGCATGTTGAGTTTTGTGCCTTTCAAATTTTCAAGTGGAGATGTGGCACTAAGGAGGGAATGACCTGGAACAGACTCTGAAAGGCTAAAAAGGGACTGCACAGACATTCGTGGACTGGATGAATGTCTCAAGGGACCTTTGCAGGCAGAGACCACGGCTCTGCAATCGCACCAATCCACACGCCTGACAGACGGTCTCAGTGCCCTTAGCAGCCTAGGTGTGGGACAGAAAGGTCATATGTTACCATGAGGTTTTTGGAAAACAGGAGATATAAGAAGACATGGAAAAAAGCTGCTTCTGGGTGTCTGACTGATGCTCAGGGGATGGGTGGAAGGAGAAGGTGGGAAAGGCTGGTAGGCAGAATATAACTGGAAAGAGAAATTAGGAGGGTAAGAAAGGCCCTATTCCCCAGAGTTCAGAAGGAAATGTGCCACAGCATCACTCTTCAGGGTTAATAAGGACTTTGTGATGAGTCACTTACTACCCGAAACTATGAAGCTTTATGCATTAATGTATCAAATAACTACATCTTCAAACTGCCCAATGGCATAACAATATTTTTTCTTTTTCTAAATAAAAATAATTTCTAATAGCATGTTTCAGGAGCAGACTGAGTGCAGTGGACTGAGCAGGTGCTCACCAAACATCTGCTCTTCTCCTTGGGCAGGCAGCTCGGCCACAATTCGGAGACTCACGAGCCCATGTACAGCCAAATGCCCAGTTCCCCTGCATGAAATATCGGGGGAGATGGTATTTCTGGAAGTGGGTGTGACTTCCCTTATTCCTTTAATTCTCTACCAGCAAGAGGATGTCAGGACAACCTGAAAGCAACAGGTTAATGACAGAAGGGCCCTGAGTCGGTGGAGAATTCCCTGCTGGCCCACAGACCTCAGTCTGAGTGAAAGAATTTTCACATGTGAGCCATTTAAATTTTGGAGTTTGCTGGATACAGCAGCCGGTGTTAACTCAGCCGAACTCATATGCAAACTTCACTAGGGGCGCAGATAGGTGGCTGGGAAACCAGGTTCCAGGCCCGCAAGGCTGAAGCCCCAGGACAATCTCAGTTCATACACCTCACTCCTCCCCAGGAGTGGTGACAAGTGTGAGGACAGAGAAACCACAGGTCAAACGGCTCCATGGCTCTCAGATGGAGCATTCTACTGTCATCTACTGTAAGAGTTATACATAGACAGGCCACACTGAGAAGCTTCCCAAGAGATCCCAGGGCCAGTGGTCTCCTCAGTCTCAAACCTGCAGGGATTCCCACTTGCCCAGATCTTGGCTCCTACCTGGACGGGTGCCTTGGGAGAGGTCTTCCTTCCCGGTCCATGGCTCCTGCCCATGATCTAGGTGGCAGATCAGCTCTGGTCTGGGAACAGGACACCCTGTTTATGGAGAAAGAAAGTGGACACATGCATGTTGGTGAAAGGACATACAGACGTACAATCTAGTCTGGGACTTCAGGATGGGGACCAGACCTTGGAATGAAGCTGCTCCTGTGCATGGGGACGAAAAGCTGGCATGTGACCTGGAAACAAGAGCAGGCCATGCCATGCTGCCGTGGGATCTCTACCCCTGACAGTAAGTCAAGAACGAGGACTTATAGGCTGTAACCATGTCCAGGGGAACGAAAAGCTGGCGTGTGACCTGGAAACAAGAGCAGGCCATGCCATGCTGCCGTGGGATCTCTACCCCTGACAGTAAGTCAAGAACGAGGACTTATAGGCTGTAACCATGTCCAGGGGAACGAAAAGCTGGCGTGTGACCTGGAAACAAGAGCAGGCCATGCCATGCTGCCGTGGGATCTCTACCCCTGACAGTAAGTCAAGAACGAGGACTTACAGGCTGTAACCATGTCTGGGGGACTGGGCCACACAAGTTAACTGCATTATGTCATTCCAAAAGTGAGTATTTATGGAATACCTTAGAGAAAAACTGATGTGTTTACATATTAAATAATGACTCTTTTCATTCAAAACAAGGTATGTGTCTTCATTGGTCTAAGTCTTTTATTTTTTTTAACATCCTAAGCAAGGTTTTATAATGTTCTCTCTCTAAACCACAGACTCAATGAGTCTGTCACCTAGGCGGGAGTGCAGTGGCATGATCTCGGCTCACTCAGCCTCCCAAGTGGCTGGGATTACAGGTGTGCGCCAGCATGCCTGGCTAATTTGTTTTGTATTTTTAGTAGAAATGAGGTTTCACTATGTTGGCCAGATTGGTCTTGAACTCCTGACCTCAGGTGATCCACCCGCCTCGGCCTCCCAAAGTGCTGGGATTACAGGCCTGAGCCATGGTGCCCAGCCATTAAATGAGGGTTCTAGTTGAGGATTACCCCACAGCATCCCCAGGAAGTCCATATCATAATCAACACCCTTTTGTTGACAAAGGAACCCAGGCTCAGGAGGTAAAGTGATTTGCTGAAGAGCACAGAACCGGGAATGGCTGAGTCAGTAAGGACCTGCTCCTGCCATCTCTGTCTGTGCTGTTTAACCACAAAGCTCCACAACGCTGCCCAGAAAGTGCCAGGTCCAGGCATGCTGACGACAATAATTGTGATGGGATGACAGTAACAGTACTGGTGGCAACAGAGACTGCAATGGCTCCCTGCCCACAGCCTGGTCTCCCAGGTGCTGTTCTGAGCCCTTTTCATAGAATGACCCTTGACCCTGACAATGGCCCTGGGATGCAAATACGGTAAGTCCTCATTTGAACAAGGAGAACACTGAGGCACAGACAAGTTCGGTAGCTTGCCCAAGGCCACCGTTTTTAAAGAACACAGCGGAGACTGGACACCAGGGTTCTGGCTCCAAACCCTGGTCTCCCAAGCACCACACTAAGGAGGAAACCACGAGCACCACGGCGGGTGGCAGAGGGTGGTGCTGATGCAGAGACGTGAGCTGGAGGATTCACCCTTAAGGACCAGCGACCAGAGCAAGGGGCAGGTGCAGTGACTCCAGACCCAGCATTTCATGAACCATTAAAATACGCAAAAACTGAACATCCTACTGTGATATGACATGAGGATATTTACAGAAACTTCATATAGCAGCACAGTGGCTCACATCTGTAGTCCCAGCTACTGGAGAGGGTCTGAGGGTCACAGTGAGCTATGATCTTGCACTGTTGTACTTCAGCCTGGGTGACAGGGTGAGACTCTGTCTCTAATATACAGAAATAACGAGTAGTACCTACTTTCATCAATATTTTACAAAAGAAGGCTGGGTGTGGTGGCTCACGACGGTAATCACAGCACCTTGAGAGGCCGAGGTGGGCGGATCACCTGAGGTCAGGAGTTCGAGACCCGTCTGGCCAATATGGTGAAACCCCATCTCTACTAAAAATATAAAACTTAGCCAGGCTTGGTGGCGCGTGCCTGTAATCCCAGCTACTCAGGAAGCTAAGGCAGGAGAATCACTTGAACCCAGGAGGCAGAGGTTGCAGTGAGCCAAGACCGCACCACTGCACTCCAGCCTAGGCAACAGCGAGACTCTGTCTCAAAACAAACAAACAATGTTGTTTGGTCCCTGTGAGCTCACGCTGCTTGTTCAGGGCTGTGAGCCTCAGGCTGCTCCCTCTGTAGAAAAGGGGAAATTACCAGCAGTTTACAGGATGTGAAGACCTGGCCCTAAACCAGACTTCGCCTCAAATGTGAAGGAGGCAAGAAGAGAAGAAATAAAAGAACGACTTCCTCGGGGTGTCTCTCACTACCAGCTCAGAAAGTGTCTGTCCAAGCACTCTCCGAAAAACAGTTTCTCAACCTGAGCACAACTGACATTTAGGTCCAGAGAATGCTTTGTTTGGGAAATGGCGGGGAAGAGGAGGAGAAAGGATCTGTCCTGTGCATTGTAAGGATGTTTGGCCGGGCGCGGTGGCTCACGCCTGTAATCCCAGCACTTTGGGAGGCCGAGGCGGGTGGATCACGAATTCAACAGATTGAGACCATCGTGGTCAACATGGTGAAACCCCGTCTCTACTAAAAATACGAAAAATTAGCTGGGCATGGTGGCGCATGCCTGTAATCCCAGCTACTCGGGAGGCTGAGGCGGGAGAATTGCCTGAACCCAGGAGGCGGAGGTTGCAGTGAGCCGAGATCGCGCCATTGCACTCCAGCCTGGGTAACAAGAGCGAAACTCCGTCTCAAAAAACAATAAGGATGTTTAGCGGCATTCCAGGTCTCCACCCACTACATGCCAACGTCATCTTCCAGTTTTAACGACCAAAATGTCTCCACGCACACCCCAGCATCCACTGAAGATCAACATCGTCCCTGCTTGAGAACCACTAGCTTAGAAAGACATGAACAAGGTAAAGGTAAGAGAGTATGGTGAGAAAGGGGCCTCCCTGAGATTTAGTGGTCAGGGAAGAGCTGCGTGAGGAGGCGCCAATGGTGCTGAAAAGGAGCAGCCATGTGAAATGCTGCATTACCCTGAGAACACGCATCAGAGAGAACAGCAAATGCGATGGCCTGAGATGGGTGGGCACTTGTGGAAACAGCATGAAGCCCAGCAAGGCTGCAGCAGAGTGACTTTAGAATCGGAGAACGTGATGGCGATCGAAGGGTTGTTTAGAATAATACCTGGTGGTACTGAAGGTAAATGTCTCCTGGGGACCTGCCTGACTCAACCCTTCTTGGAAAACATCCCACTGCCACGCCACTAACTGGGCTGTGGAGCAGATACATGAGCAACCAGGCACCACACCCAGGCAGATCCTGCTCTGGAACTCAAAAAAAGAACTGCAGACAGAGGCCATCTATGCTGGGCAGTGGGTGAGAGATGGAGGGAAGCACGAGCTGGAGATGGAGCAGCCTCTGCTGCCTCAAGCACACCTCGTCGAGGCCAGAGAAACAGACAAGAAATCTGGAGGGGAAGGAGAGATCACGAAGAATAAAGCCTCGGGTGGCTATTCTTCCTTTGAACTCGCTGAGGTAGAAAAGAACCATACAGAATAGACAGAGACATGAGCAGACAGAGAAGCCAGGACATTACTGTGGTGGTTCTCAGTTCCTACACCAGCCCCTTGTAATGCACAGGTGGAAAGCCTACCGTTGGGGTCTGCAAAACACCCTGTTTCCTCCCAACCCCTTCTCCTTTGGCTGGGAGCCAAAGAGATACAGGGAGACTGTATAAGAAGTGAGTGTAGGCCGGGCGCGGTGGCTCACGTCTGTAATCCCAGCACTTTGGGAGGCCGAGGCGGGTGGATCATGAGGTCAAGATATCGAGACCATCCTGGTCAACATGGTGAAACCCCATCTCTACTAAAGATACAGAAAATTAGCTGGGCATGGTGGCGCGTGCCTGTAATCCCAGCTACTCAGGAGGCTGAGTCAGGAGAATGGCCTGAACCCAGGAGGCGGAGGTTGCGGTGAGCTGAGATTGCGCCATTGTACTCCAGCCTGGGTAACAAGAGCTAAACTCTGTCTCAAAAGGAAAAAAAAAAGAAAGAAAAAAAAAAGAGGTGAGTGTAGAAAATGACTGAAGTGTGGGAATGAGGCAAAGCAGGTTCAAGAGGCCTTCTTGACCCGTCAGGCGTGGAGTCAGAGGATGGAATGAAGGAGGTGGCAGGTCCCTTGCATCGTGGAGAGGGAAGGCCTTACCCAGAGATACCAGGAGCCCACAGTTTTCCAGCATCACCTCCTGGTACAGGGTCCGCTGAGCTAGGTCCAGCTGCCCCCACTCCTCCTGGGTGAAAGTCACAGCCACATCATCAAAGGTCACAGACACCTGAAATGTCAAATAGAGGGAGTAGAGTTTGCCCCGGGACTGTCATATGTGCGTTGCTGGAAAAGGTGAAGCAAGATCAAGGCCCAACTCACTGAGGACCTCCTGAGGGCCCAACTTTGTACCAGGCGGAAGGTGGCCACTGCTTTGGACAGATTAAAGCCTCCTACACAGGAGCTACCAGAGAATGACAGCAGACAATGGCAATAACTTGCAGACTGTGAGATGCAGACAATTAGAGTTCAAGAGCAGCAGAGGAATGAGAAAATCATGACAATGACAATAAGAACAGCAATAATGCTGACCACGACAGTGCCTGAGCCTCACTGGTCCGGCTCATGCTGAAGCCTTCACGTTCTGTTTTAAAGCAACTACAAGTCCCCAACTCTGAAGTCAGAATCCTCCAGTTTTAATCTAAGCTCCTGAAACTGACACTTGCCAGTTTTTGTGATCTTAGGCACCTCATTCATTTCTGCTTCAATTTCCAGAATTCCCACATCTCCCAGTAACAGACATGAGTTCCTCAGAGCTTGATGGGCTTATGAGATCTTATTAATCCTCCCACAGCCCCTGAAGTATTACTAAACACCACCACCCATCACCTCCATGTCGCAGTCACTGACCTAAGGCTAAGGGAGCTCCACAGATTCTCCCAGTGTTTTTTTTTTTTTTTTGTATTTTTGTTTTTTAAGAAACAGGGTCTCACTCTATTGCCCAGACTGCAGAGCAATGGCATGCTCAGAGCTCACTGTAACCTCAATCTCCTGGGCTCAAGCAATCCTTCTGCCTCAGCCCAAATAGCTGGACTATAGGCACGTGCCACTGTGTCCAACTATTATTATTATTTTTTTTGGTGGAGCTGGGATCTTGCTATGTTGCCCAGGCTGGTCTCGAACTCCTAGCCTCAAGTGATCCTCTCACCTCAGCCTCCCACATCATTGGGACTTCAGGTGTGAGCACCAGACCCAGCCAGAGTTTCATATCTTATAAGCAGACACAGGATTTCAACCCAGGTCCCTCTGCTTCGGGGTTTAATACTGTGACCCCAACAATCCTCCATCACCAACGTGAATCTACGATAATAAAGTTGTGAAGCATTTCTTTTTTTTTTGAGACGGAGTTTGCTCTTGTCACCCAGGCTGGAGTGCAATGGCGCGATCTCGGCTCACCGCAACCTCCGCCTCCCGGGTTCAGGCAATTCTCCTGCCTCAGCCTCCTGAGTAGCTAGCATTTCTACATATTTTTGCTGTTTAATCTATTTTAGCAGCTACTGAAACTATTCCCAAGACATGGGCAAAGCCCTCATCACCAAACTTAGGAGTGCCAAATGCCTGAGGAGTGGCAGTGCCCGGACCAGCTCACTCTCTCCCCTGGACCCCAGGGAGACTGCACAGTGAACCATCAGCCTTTTCCCTCCTTGAGTGCTGCCGGCAGGGATCCCTAATGCCAGTGTACTTCAGGACCGGGAAACTCAAGTGGCTGAGGACAACGCAGGCTGTGGTTATGAGAATCTGGCCAAAATGCCGTATGGGCTGAGGTAGGAGGAATGTCCAACAAAGGACCACGGGGTGTTGCTCTTCCAGGCCACGTCTCGGCTGGTGGGGATGGGGGAAACCACGGTAACCTCACAAGTCCTCTTGGACCTCCTTAAACAACCAACACACTTTGCCTTGGTCTACACAGTCCTCTCTACCTGAGCACCTGCCTTTCGCTTCCAATGGCCCCTGTGACTTGCTGGAGGAAAACTGCGAATTTCACCTACAGGGCTTCTCAGCCAGCTGTCTGTAAAAACAAAGGCTCTGGTGGCCGACATACGAAATACGAGTTTCTGTTACTTAAGTACTGTGACTTTCGGCAGGCAACGGAACAGGTTGGAGTCTTGACCTCTTCTTGTGTAAAGCAGTGCTGATGACAGAATGTCCCTTTAAGGAGATCAGGATTAAATGAGATGATAAATAACGCCCACCTCTCAGTTCACATCAAGGACTTAACGAAGGCCGTTACAGTTCTTGTGTTATTTTTGTTTGTTTTTTTTTTGAGACGGAGTTTCGCTTGTTACCCAGGCTGGAGTGCAATGGCGCGATCTCGGCTCACCGCAACCTCTGCCTCCTGGGTTCAGGCAATTCTCCTGCCTCAGCCTCCCGAGTAGCTGGGATTACAGGCACACGCCACCATGCCCAGCTAATTTTTTGTATTTTTAGTAGAGACGGGGTTTCGCCATGTTGACCAGGATGGTCTGTATCTCTTGACCTCGTGATCCACCCACCTCGGCCTCCCAAAGTGCTGAGATTACAGGCGTGAGCCACCTCATTATTCATGCTCTTTGTCCCCACAAAGTCTTTAAGACCTCAACTCAGTAGCTGTCTAAAACTTTTGCCAGATTCTCTATACAAAAACGCCAGACCTGGGGCAGGTGACAAAGGGACTACTTTTAGTCTGAACTGCCATGAGAGGCGTCTTCAAAGAAGTGACATGTGAGCAGAGCCAACAAGATGTGAAAGGGTCTTGCAGAGATCTGAGGACAATGTGTGAAGCTGAATGAACTGTAAGGGTGAAGGCTGAGGGATGAAAAAGAATTCCGCGTGATCAGATTGGTGTGTCTGAACAGCTGAGCCAGGGAGGAAAGGAATGAAACAAGGACGGAGGTGGTCAGCCAGAGGACCGGGTAGGGACTTGGGCAGCCCATGGCTGAGGATTCGGCTTTTTTTTTTTTTTTTTGAGATGGAGTTTCGCTCTTGTTACCCAGGCTGGAGTGCAATGGCGCGATCTCGGCTCACCACAACCTCCGCCTCCTGGGTTCAGGCAATTCTCCTGCCTCAGCCTCCCGAGTAGCTGGGATTACAGGCACGCGCCACCATGCCCAGCTAATTTTTTGTATTTTTAGTAGAGACGGGGTTTCAACATGTTGACCAGGATGGTCTCGATCTCTTGACCTCGTGACCCACCCGCCTCGGCCTCCCAAAGTTCTGGGATTATAGGCGCGTGAGCCACCGCGCCCGGCCGAGAATTCGGCTTATGTGTGTGATGGGAGTCCCTGGAGTGGAGCTTCATCTATCCTTCAACCGATGATTGAGCACCTATCAGAGGCCTGACACTTCCGGCGGTGGAAAGCTACAGAAGGGCTAAACTACAAGTGGCGCGTGTCATGTGATCGGCGTTCTCTGCTCTTGGTCCTCTGTTGGAAGCGGAGGCAAAAATCAGGGGCACAGTCAGTTCTCAATCAAGTCCTATTTGGGGCCTACCGTCCACAAGTCAGCGCTTAGCTTCCTGAAGTGTCACCGGAGAGCAACCTAGCTCCTTGCAAGCCTAACTTAGGGCAGACGGGCTCCCAGGGTTGTCTACTGCGGAAAAGGAGGCTGGTTTCCCGGGAACGTTGCTACCGACTGTACGTCGCCGCCCTATTTCTACGTATGGTTTCGCTACCGTTGACTTGACTATTCCGTCTCTCAGGTGCCACCGCGACAGGGGACAACCAAGTGACGAGCCTGCTCCACGTTTCGTAAACAGACAAGACTACAGAGAGGAATCCTGTGACTGTGTTGGCTGCCAGCCTGCCCTGGAGGCTTCTCCGAACTAGGAGAAAAGCAGTGAAGCCGAAACCTAGTCCACTCACCTGCGCCGGGTCCGTCAATGCCGTCGCCATTACTGGGACCCTGCAGCCCTAGCGGGGCGGGTCCCGCGGGCTCGGCCGAGCCCCACCCCTTCCCTGCGCAGGGCGCGGTGACCTTGGCTGACAGTCGAACTACCCCGTGATGGGGAGGCTCACCGTTCACTCCGAGACGCAGAGGTCGCTGTCTGCCTCCTACCTGCTCATTTCCCCAGAGCCGCCCGGGAGGGGGCGGTGGAAGAGCCGGCGTGGACAGAACCGTCGCGCTCAAATGACGCCACCACCCAAATGCCGGAAGTCCCGCCCCAAGCTTCGCGGCCCACAGAAAACGCCCCTGTCCTGGATCATCATTGGCTCCAGAGCCCGCCACGTACCGGGCAATGCCTTCTGGTTAATGTAGTTTTTCTCTACAAAAACACTTGCAGAGGGGACTCATCCTGAGCCCGTAGGCCTCGGCGTAAAAGACGCCTGCCTCTGTCCCGGGGGCACAAGTCGGAGGCCAGGGGGCAAGCTTGAAACCGTCCATTCTTCGCCGGGGGAAATCGAGCCCCAGGAGAAGGCAGCGACGTGTGCCACGGTCAGGGCCACTACAGAGACTCTGGAGCAGGCTCCGGACCCTGATTTCCACCTTGTGTTATCTCCCCTCCCGATCCTCATTTTTTTTTTGAGACGGAGTTTCGCTCTTGTTACCCAGGCTGGAGTGCAATGGCGCGATCTGGGCTCACCGCAACCTCCGCCTCCTGGGTTCAGGCAATTCTCCTGCTTCAGCCTCCCGAATAGCTCGGATTACAGGCACGCGCCACCACGCCCAGCTAATTTTTTGTATTTTTGGTAGAGACGGTGTTTCACCATGTTGGCCAGGATGGTCTCGATCTCTTGACCTCGTGATCCACCTGCCTCGGCCTCCCAAAGTGCTGAGATTTCAGGCATGAGCCACTGCACCTAGCCATGTCTGGCTTCTTTTACTTAGCATCATGTTTTCTTTTCTTTTTTTTTTTTTTTTGAGACAGAGTTTTGCTCTTGTTACCCAGGCTGGAGTGCAATGGCGCAATCTCGGCTCACCGCAACCTCCGCCCCCTGGGTTCAGGCAATTCTCCTGCTTCAGCCTCCCGAGTAGCTCGGATTACAGGCATGTGCCACCATGCCCAGCTAATTTTTTGTATTTTTAGTAGAGATGGGGTTTCACCATGTTGACCTGGATGGTCTTGATCTCTCGACCTCACGATCCACCTGCCTCAGCCTCCCAAAGTGCTGGGATTACAGGCTTGAGCCACCGCGCCCGGCCGCAAAACAGATATTAAAGTTAGTATGTTTATATTCCATCACAGGAGACCAGAATGTCTGGAATCAGTCCAGGTGAGGAAAGCTATATAGATACTGGAGACACTTTTTTTTTTTTGAGACAGAGTTTCACTCTGTCACGCAAGCTGGAGTGCAGTGGTGCAGTCTCAGCTCACTGCAACCTCTGCCTCCCAGGTTCAAGCGATTCTCCTGCCTGTCTCATGAGTAGCTGGGATTACAGGCACAAGCTACCATGCCCAGTTAAGTTTTGTTATTTTTTCGAGATGGGTTTTCACCATATTGGTCAGGCTGGTCTCGAACTCCTGATCTCAAATGATCTGCCTGCCTCCGCCTCCCAGAGTGCTGGGATTACAAGTATAAACCACCACACCTGGCCTGGAGACACTTTTAAATCCCTCGTGTAAACTATGTCAGAGAGTTTTCATTATTTAAACATATATCATCTGGTGATCAGTGCTGAGGCCCTAGTGATTTTTCTGTCCTTACTTAATTGCCAAAAAATTGCCCAGTGATGTCCTTTTCCAGCAACTCAAGTGTGTAAATAGCAGAGTTTATATGTATGAACTGGTTAATTCATCAGAAATTGCCAAGTTTTTGAAATGTTAACTCAGGAAAACCGATAGGATGAAGAAAAGCATGTAGAAGCAAGCACTATGTCTCCTCACGCAGGTAAAAGGAAGAAAAAACAAACCAAAAGACACGTAAATACCGAATGTGCAGCTTAAAAACCATGAACCGATGTCCTGGAGTATTTAACTGGCAGGTCTGCCATAATGGGAGCTGTTCATCTGAGTGAAGTGGCTGAATCATTTATACCTGAGTCGTCGGTCTGGTCCTAACAGAAATCATTCCTGCGACTGCTGGACATTTCACAATGGGGAGCTTGTGTGGAACACAGTGACAGAAGTAGCATTAACAAGACAAACTCCATATAAAGTGCTTGACAAGTAAAGTCCGAAGAAATCCTGCTGTAACTGACTGCATTGATCCAAAAACATATTTGAGCTTACAGCTGAGGGGTCTAGATGCTTGCTGTGGTACAGTTTATAATGGGCACAGGGGGCAGCTGGCACGGAAGTTACAGAAGGCTGGAAGGCCACTCCCCAAACTGCAGCATGGGATGATTTAAAAAGAGGTGACGTGGTATTTATTATGAGGGATGACTTCCTCGAATGTGATCAGTGTGTGACACACACAGAGTTGCCAGTGTTCATGTGAGAATTGGTTGCACTGAGGTGCAGTGGACACCGTGTTCTGTTGTTACAGAGCCTTCACTGTCAATGCAGAGAAACACTGCACTTCTAAGACAGCAGCATACTGATGTCCATAAAAAGAGAGTGGACTTTTGGGTTGATGACAGTCACTTTACAAATGGCGTACTGCTGAAAACTTGGGAGAAATACGTTGGATCGAGGAGCCACTGTGATACATAGCAGGTTATATACCCTCAGGGCATTTATGTGTAGAAAGAAGACAAGAGGGTTTTTGTTGTCTGAGATACTGTCTCATTCTGTCTCCCAGGCTGGAGTGCAATGGCACGGTCTCAGCTCACCGTAGCCTCTGCCTCCTGAGTAGCTATGGTTATAGGCACCTGCCACGATGCCTGGCCAATTTTTCTATTTTTAGTAGAGACAGGGTTTTACCATGTTGGCCAGGCTGGTCTTGAACTCCTGACCTCAAGTGTTCTACCTGCCTCGGGCTTCCAAAGTGCTAGAATTACAGACGTGAGCCACCATGCCTGACCTGAAAGTAGGCAAGAGTTTTCAAGGAGAATCAAGTTAGCATTTCCAGGGTGGAAGGAGGGGGGCAGCAGGGAGAACAACCTTGGGCAGTTCTCATGGGAAAGATTTCCCACAAAAAATAAAGATTCTACCCAGTCACATACTGGGTATTTGTTCACAACTATGAGGAGCTGGTACAAAATGATTCAGCTTTTATTAACTAACTAGCATCTTACATCTTAAAAGAGAAAAGAATAAAGACAAAGGAGGTGGCAGAGCTAGGAGATCTCCCTGAGCAAACACAAACAGAAGCAGACAGGGCTCAGGAAGCCACCTGAGCACAAGGAGGCAGCACCCTTCGGGAGTAGGCCTGAACCCAGGGATGCTTCAGGATCTGAGCCAGGGGCAGTCGCTCCAAGGGCTGGTATCTGAGAAGCTTGGAAATCAAGTCCTGGGCCCCCACAGGCATTGACGGTGGAAACCTCACATCCACCTGATGAGGCCAGGAAAAAAGAGAGAAATCTGGTTAATTTCTTTGGTCAGTGTTCTCCCTCTTGAGTCTTTTTAAGACACCGTTCTGGACCACAGTAGACAACCTGTGTGTGTGCTCCAGTTCCCACAGCCCGGCAGGCATCACTGGCCGACTCCCCCATGAATGCCCAAAGGTGACTGTCCCACCTTGAGGATGCGTCTGTAAGTCTCACTGTGGGAGGTGCTCTCAAAAGGTGGGTATCCGACGAGCAGCTCATAGCAAAGCACCCCCATGCACCACAAATCCACCTTTTCGTCGTACGTTCTCCCCTCAATCATTTCCGGGGGCAAGTAGTCCAGTGTCCCACACATTGTCTTTCTCCTGGAGGAAGGCAGAAAAGGGAGCATTAAGCAGAGGCCCAGGGTGAGGGAACTCCTTCCCCAGCTTTCACTGAGACATAGAGACCCTAGGACATCCTGCAAAGTCTCTCCCAAGCACAGGAGTTTTGAGAGACAAATTTTTAACACGGACCAAGGTGTGTAGAAGCTGAGTACTGGGACCTACTGTTAATGAATCCCTATTCTGGATTATTCATACAGTGATTTAGCTCATGCTCCAGAATGTTTTCACAAGAACAGTCTCAGCGTTAAGAAAGATCTAGAACAAACCGATGGTGTATCAACAAGAACTAAGTAATTATGTTAAGAAAATTTCTGTATGAAAATTATTCATACGGAAAAATACACTCCTGGAATTATGGAGCGATGACTTTATTTACATGCAAACCTACTGATACAGTTACCTACTGGCCAGGTGCGGCGGCTCACGCCTGTAATCCCAGCATTTTGGGAGGCCGAGGTGGGTGGATCACCTGAGGTCAGGAGTTCGAGACCAGCCTGACCAACACGGTGAAACCCTGTCTTTACTAAAAACACTAAATTAGCCGGGTGTGGTGGCCCCTGCCTGTAATCCCAGCTACTTGGAAGGTTGAAGTGGGAGAATCGCTTGAACCCGGGAGGTAGAGGTTGCAGTGAGTTGAGACTGCACCACTGCACTCCAGCCTTGGCAACAAGAGCAAAACTCCGTCTCAAAAAAAGAGAAGAAAAAGGCAGTATTCCAACCAGGCGTGGTGGTGGCTCACGCCTGTAATCCCAGCACTCTGGGAGGCCGAGGTGGATCGATCACCTGAGGTTAGGAGTTCGAGACCAGCCTGGCTAACATGGCAAAACCCTGTCTCTACTAAAATTACAAAAATTACCTGGGTGTGGCAGCACATGCCCATAATCCCAGCTACTGGGGAGGCTGAGGCAGGAGAACTGCTTTAACCTGGGAGGCTTAGATTGCACCACTGCACTCCAGCCTGGGTGAAAGAGACTCTGTCTCAAAAAGAAAAAAAAAGAAAAAGGCAGTATTCCAATACAACCCCCACGTTTGTATCTGAGCTTTGCATGAGGACATGTGAAATACAATACATTGAATCATTCTTAACTGTTACTGAGAACTCCCCTCCCCCACCACTACCTGACCTACCTCAGGGAGGGGGTGTGCACAGACCAGCCAAAATCTGCGATCTTCACCTCACCCCTGAACCCCAGCAGCAGGTTCTCTGGTTTAATATCTCTGTGAATCACTTTCTTCTCATGGCAGTAGGTCAGGGCATCTGCCAACTCCTCTATTATCTGTGGGTGCACAGAAAGGGCAACCTGGAAGTGAAGCCTGCCACAGTTTCGGTCTGGGGTGGAAAACTCATCATGAATTGTACGACTGCACTGGACTCATACAACCCATGAACTCTATTTCCTCCTTTTTAAATTGTACTATAGATCCTGGTGTGTGGGGCGTGGGGGGTGGATTTCCTCTCCTTTTTGTGTGGTCTTAGAGGACGATGGTAAAATGGACACAGATCCTCCCTATTGTCCTAGTACAGCAAGGAGCCAGACACAGAACCCACCCTGAGCCACTCAGATGATCTCTCACAGGACTTGAGGCTCGAGGAAATGAACACAGAAATGGGAGGAAAGACAGAAGGCCATCCAACCTGACAGAACAAGCTAAGTGGACCATTACTGCTGGGAAGATCACTGCAGTGCTTCCCTTTCTGGAACCCTCTAGAAATCTCTTTGTACCTATCTCTAAGCCGGCTGTATCCACGTATTCAGTGAACTCCTTCAGAGTCTTTCAATACGTTTCTTTACATAAGGCAGCGGACTTAGATTCTGCTGCTTACAACCCAAGAATCCAAACCTATGGCTGGGCGCGGTGGCTCACGCCTGTAATCCCAGCACTTTGGGAGGCCGAGGCGGGTGGATCACGAGGTCAACAGATCGAGACCATCCTGGTCAACATGGTGAAACCCCGTCTCTACTAAAGATACAAAAAATCAGCTGGGCATGGTGGCGCGTGCCTGTAATCCCAGCTACTCAGGAGGCTGAGGCAGGAGAATTGCCTGAACCCAGGAGGCGGAGGTTGCGGTGAGCCGAGATCGCGCCATTGCACTCCAGCCTGGGTAACAAAAGCGAAACTCCTTCTCAAAAAAAAAAAAAAAAAAATAATGATAAATAAATAAAAAATAAAAATACAAAGGGCAATCTGGCCCCTCATGCCAGCCAGCCCACAATAAACTCTTACACCCCAGAGCCTGCAGTCCCCCATCTCACCGTGGCTGTGCGCTGTTCATCTAATTTCTCGCTTTTCTGCAGCTCCTTGTACAGCTCACCCCTCGGAGCATATTCCAGAATCAGGAACACGCGGCGCGCGTCATGGAAGTAGTTATACAGGCGTAGGATATTGGGGTGTCTGAAGGACGAATGGAAGAGTGAGATTTCTCCCTATCCACGCGGCGCGCATCATGGAAGTAGTTATACAGGCGTAGGATATTGGGGTGTCTGAAGGACGAATGGATGAGAGATCTCTCCCTATCACGTGATGCCACTGTCACTGCTTGGTCACACAAACGGCAAATTATGCTGGGACGAGAATCACCACAGCCCTATCTGGGAGCGAGTGAGGGGAGAACAGAGGACAGGAACCAGGATTCGGGTGTCTGCCCCAGGGTGGGAGCTCTAGGTAGCGTAAATGGAACGAACTGCAGAAAAAAGTCTTGGAGGTAGACGTGAAGGGTTTAGTTGGGGTTAGAGTTCGGGGCAAATGCGGGGCTCAGACGTCAAAGATGAAAGAGGAAGCACGGATTGTCCTTACTGTAGATGCGCCTGGATCTCAATTTCCCGGCGCAGCTGGTGCTCCAGTCCCTCCTTCTCTAACTGCGACTTGAAAAGAACCTTCAGGGCCACGATGAAGTGGCTTTCCTTGAGCCGAGCCAGGTACACATTCCCAAATTTCCCCTTGCCCAGGGGACGCCCGATTTCAAAGTCATCGATTGTGAGGCGCCGCCTGACAGAAGACGAAGAAAAGAGCCTCAGCTTGGGAGGTAGGGGAGGTGGAGGGAAAGTCAGGGACCCCAATGCTCCCGTCCCTGTTTCACTGCATCCGTACCCTACATTCCTCAGGACAGTTCTGGGTCGCAGGAGCTAGCACGCCTGTCCTTCATCCCCGCATCCCACCTCCCTTCCTTATCCGGATACCAAACCCAAGGCGCTCACACGGTTGGGTTGCGGGGCTGCTGGGCTGTCTGGCTTGCTGCAGTCACTGAAAGAGGGGAGTGGGAGGGAGAGAGGGAAGGGGAGGGAAGGGAAGGAAAAGGAGAGAGAAAGGGGGGGCGAACAGTAGAGGAGGAGGGGGAGAGACAGAGGTGAGAAGAAGAGAGAGAGATACAGTGGAAGGGAGGAAGAGGAAGAACAGTAGAGGGAAAGAGTAGAGGAGGGAGAGGTGAGAAGAGGAGGAGAGAAAGAGGGGGGAGGGGAAGACAGGGAGGCAGAAGGGAGAGAGGGAGAGAGTGGGAGACGGGGAGGAAGCGGCGAGGGAGGGAGAGGGGAGGGGGAGGTGAGGGGAAGAGGAAATATATTAAGGTAAGGGACGGAGAGGGGAAGGGAGGGGAAGAAAAGGGGGAGAGAGGGGAGGAAGACAGGGAGGCAGAAGGGAGAGAGTGGGAGAGGGGAGAGGAAGGTAAGGGGGGAGGGGAAGGTAACGGGGAGGGGAGGGGGGGAGGGGAGGGGGGCAGGGAGACCGAAGGGAGAGAGTGGGGGAGAGAGAGGGAGGGGGGAGGGGAGGTAAGGGAGGGAGGAGGAGGGGGAGGTGAGGAAGAGGCAGAGAGAAAGGAAGGGGAGGAGAGGGAGGGGTGAGAGAAGAATGGGAGTGGGAAGGAGGGAGAGGGAGAGGGAGGAAGGGAACAGTGGGGAGGAACGGAGAGGATTGGGGAGGAGGAGAGGGAGGTGAGGAGTCAGCAGAGGTGCCTTCTGTGCCCCCCGACCCCGGCTCCTCTCCCCCCCCCCCCCCCCCCCCCCGCCTGCTCCGCGTCCTTTCTCGGGCTCCGGCTCTCACCCGCTTCGCCTGCAGGCTGAGCTCTGCCCGGCGGGACCGCAGCTCCCTGGGAGCTCATGGGGATCAGAGGTGAGGGCGCGGACGCCTTCCTGAGCTCTCTGGATGGCTGTTCCCGTTCACAGGGTCCTGAAAGGGCTTGGGGGTCACTTTCCAGCCGGGGCGCCCCCAGGCCCGCTCGTCCAGCGGCCTCACCGAGGCACCAACGTAAACAGTCTCCTGGATCCGCGGCGTCGAGAGTGAGCAGCACTGGCTGCGCGGCCTCCTTTTATACCTGGCGCCTCCCGCGCAGAGCGGTACTTCCTGCTTGGCTCCCATTGGCTGAAATTCCTGACGTCATCGTAAGCACGCCCAATAGAAAAGACAGAAATGGGAACCTCCGCTCAAGGTCTGGGTCAGGACCGGGCCGGAAGTGGAGCGTTGCCGCGACAGGGGCGGGAGGCTGAAAGCGAGTTCTAGGGGTGAGTCCCGAGAAGGAAGGATACAGAGGGTGCAGAGAGGCGGTGATGGGAGCGGACCAGAGGGAATGAACATCGCAAACATCCACGGGGTGCGCATGCGTGAACTAGGAAGGACCCGCGATGCACGTGGTAATGAACATACACGCCACTCCTGATGCGGTGGAGCCTGGTGCAGCCTGCGACCCTAACCCACCTTGCTTCAAGGTCACTGCTGATTCCAGCCACTCTCCAGGGTCACCGCTGGGTGTATTTTTAGTAGAGACGGGGTTTCGCCCTGTTGGTCAGGCTGGTCTTGAACTGCTGACCTCAAGTGATCTGCCTGCCTCCGCCTCCCAAATTGCTGGGATTACAGGCGTGAGCCACCACGCCAGGTTTTCAATTATATTTCCGCAACACTTGTTTCCTGTCTATAAGAATTCAAATTTAAATGTTTTTTTAAACTGAAGCCCGTGGCTGTGCCTGCTCACAGCCAGGGCGCCAGGAGCCCAGCTCACTTACCCCTCTCCTCCTACTTGCTGAATATTTGTTGGACCCTTACATCAATTGTGGTTTTTGCCTCAGATCGTAACATCAGCCCACGTATTTATTTGTTTAGCAAGCACAGAAGTTTCGAAAACATTTAGAATTGAATTATTTTAGACAGGGAACAGATCTTGCAATAGATGGCCTGGCGTGGTGGCTCACGCCTCTAATTCCAGCACTTTGGGAGGCCTAAGGGGGGCAGATCACTTGAGGTCAGCAGTTCGAGACCAGCCCGGCCAACAGGGCAAAACCACATCTTTACTGAAAATACAAAAACTAGCCAGGTGTGGTAGCGCATGCCTGTCATCTCACCTGTTCGAGAGGCTGAGGCAGGAGAGTCACTTGAACCTGAAGGGAGCAGAGGTTGCAGTGAGCTGAGATCATGGCACTGCACTCCACCCTGTATTACAGAGTGAGACTCTGCTCAATAATAAATAATAAATAAGATATATATGTAATTGAAAACAGAATCTGAATCCAGAAAACCTCACCATATATAGCAAGATGATTTAGGGTAATACTAAGTGCTCAGTGGAATAGATAGAGAAGAAAGTGGTAAGAGAATGTGCTTGGGTGTCATCACTCATCTGGGAAAATAGAATTCAAAACAAAATCTGTTCCCAACCCGGAAAGCCCTTTATTGAATAAACATCAAACCGGAATGTCATGTGCATTACAGGAAATATGGCAAGACATTGCAGAGACAGAAAAACAGAAAATATAAAACAACAACAAAAAAAGCAAAGACAGGGAAAAATAAATCTCACTTTTTGATATTCTCTATCAGATAAAACCCATTACATACATGTCCTCAAAGTAAACAATATTAGTCCTACAGTCACCAGGTGTGGTGGCTCAGGCCTGTGATCCCAAGACGTTGGGAGGCCAAGGCAGGTGGATCACTTGAACTCAGAAATCGAGACCGGCCTGGGCAACATGGTGAGAAACTTTGTCTCTATAAAAAGTAAAAAAACTAGGGGGGCGTTGTGGCACATGCCTGTCGTCCCAGCTACTTGGGAGGCCAAAGTGGGAGAAGCACTTGAGTGCAGGAGGTTGAGGCTGCAGTGACTCATGATCACATCACTGCACTCCAGCCTGGGCAACAGAGCAAGACCCCGTGTATTTATTTATTTATTCAAATGAATAATAAAGTTAAAAGTTTGAGCAATAACAAGGAGGGACTTGCATGATTATAGTGAGAAGTGCCCTGTAGATTCCCCAGTGAAAGTGGTGAAAATACTTAAAAGGCCGGGCATGGTGGCACTCCTGTAACTTCAGCACTTTGGGAGGCCAAGGCAGGAAGATCTCCTGAGCCCGGGAGTTCAAGACCAACCTGGGCAACAAAGTGAGATTCCATCTCTATTAGAAAAATAAATTATTAAAAACATACATGAACCAGGTAGTGATACCCCTTGAAAAAAGCTAACAAATATGCTAACCAACACAAATGCAAACATTTAATGTCTCTGGAAATGGTGCTAGAGTTATATAGCAAATTAAGAAACATTTATTCAAGAAATGAATGTAACTCTTTGAGAACAGCAAATCTGTAGTATTTGAAACAAGTCCCGTCTGGGTGCAGTGGCTCACGCTGTAATCCCAGCACTTTGGGAGGCTGAGGTGGGTGGATCACTTGAGGTCAGACATTTGAGATCAGCGTGGCCAACACGGTGAAACCCCATCTCTACTAAAAAAATAAATAAATAAATTAGCCAGGCATGGTGGCGTGCACCTGTAGTCCTAGCTACTCAGGAGGCTGAGGCAGGAGAATCGCTTGAACCCAGGAGATGGAGGTTGCAGTGAGCAGAGAAATAAATCTCACCCTTTTGTATTCGGAAGCTGATAAAACCCAGTACATGCATGTTCTCAAAACAAACAATATTAGTCCTATAGTCACCAGGTGTGGTGGCTCAGGCCTGTGATCCCAAGACGTTGGGAGGCCAAGGCAGGTGGATCACTTGGTTTAGGTGATCCTAAATATAGCAACAGAACGGAGACTCCGTCAAAAAACAACCAACCAACCAAGCGAAAACAACAACCAAAAAAACACCAAGTCCCTCACTTGCCCTGAACTCTCTAATTCAACAAAATGGAAACGACTCCAACAATACAGGGCTCCCCCACGCCCAGCTCCAGTTGGAGGGGGATTTTTCTTTTTCAGGTGGAGTTTTGCTATACGTTTGCTTTCTGCAAGGGCTGTAGACCGGGTATTTCCGGTTATTCAGGTGGGTTCTGCATTCCTGCATGAGTGATCCTTGTGAAAACCCTGGACACCAAGGCGTGGGTGAGCTTCCCTGGCCGGCAATACTGTGAATGTTTAGCATACAACTTTGTTGTGTGCCCTTGTGCAACTGCCCTGGGAAGGAATGGCTGTTAGGTTTGTTCCTGGGCCAGGCGTGGTGGCTCGTGCCCGTAATCCCGGCACTTTGGGAGGCTGAGGCGGTGGATCACACCTGAAGTCAGGAGTTCCAGACCAGCCTGGCCAGCATGGTGAAACCCCATCTGTACTGAAAATACAATAATCAGCGGGTGTGGTAGCATGTACCTGTAGTCCCAGCTACTCAGGAGGCTGAGGCAGAGGATCGCTCAAACCCGGGAGACAGAGGTTGCAGTGGGTTGAGAGCATGCCGCTGCACTCCAGCCTGGGAGACAGAGTGAGACTCTATCTCAGAAAAAAAAAGAAAGAAAGAAAGAAAAAATGTTGTGCCTGGCTTCTCACAGATTTCCTCCTGTGTGTGTTTTTCCTTTGGTGATCTTGCTCTGTATCCTTTCGCAGTGATAAACTGTCACCATGAGTATAAACAGCTTTTCTGAGGTTCATGACTTTCTTTTCTGAGTTTTGTTTGACTTTCGGGCAAATCGTCTAGCCTGAAGATTCAGGTACTGTGGAGAGAATGTCACATAACCTAAAATGTCAAAAATGATTAGGGCTCATTCACCTAACAAGTACCTGAATGTATACTTTTGACTAGAAACTATGCACCTGGAACAAATAGGAGAAACTCTAGATCAAGGTCTGTGCTCTCTTGAAGCTGGAAACTGAGTTGGGGAGAGTCGTTATTATTTAATAACCAAACAAACGGACAGTCACGAAAGAATGGGTATGACCTAGCTGGGTGCTCTCTGGGACAAAATGAAGGATACATATTCGCTAACTGGGCAGAGCAGGTGGTGGAAGCTCCATCTCAGGTGGGAAAAGGAAAGGGAAGCATGGGGTGAAGGGGGAACAGCCGTAAGACTTGTGTGAGATGAGGGCTGGGGAAATAAGGTTTAGGGTGTTTACAGTAAAGTAGGCATCTGACCCCGAGAGTGCAGATGAGGCGTGGAGAGAGGCCAGTGAGAGGAAAAAGGCCTGGGACAAAGCCTTAGAAATTTCAACACCGGCGCCGTGGCTCATGCCTGTAAGCCCAGCACTTTGGGAGGCCGAGGCAGGCAGATCACCTGAGGTCAGAAGTTAAAGACCAGTCTGGCCAACATGGTGAAACCATGTCTCTACAAAAAATACAAAAATTAGCTGGGCAGTATGGCAGGTGCCTGTAATCCCAGCTACTCAGGAGGCTGAGGTGGGAGAATCTCTTGAACCTGGGAGGCGGAGGATGTAGCAGACAAGTGGATGCGCCAACATGAAAGGGGAAAAGGAGTGAGGGGGTGCAGGGGAGAAAACCAGGAGCATAACCTTACAGAACCAAAGAGTACATCTGGAGTAAAGAGTGGACGGTAACAGTTTCACGTCCTGTCCAGAGCCCAGAAAAGACAAGAACTCATGATTTGTAAACAGGGAGCCACTGCTGACCTTCACCGGAGTGGCAAGAAGGGTGGCGCCGTAGTCGGGGTGTTTACAAGGAGAGGAGAGGTGTGGGAAATGGACAGAAATAACCCAAGGGACAGGTAATGGGAACGTTACATGAGTGAAGAGCCCCAAGAAGCCCCTCCGTTAAAGAAAGAGAGGAAAAGACAAGGAACTCAAAGCTGGAGAAGCCCGTACGCACCCAGGGACACATGGAAGATCACACTGGTGATGTCTGACACTCAAGAAGTGTGAGGATAAGTCAGAAAGGGCTTGAAAATGATGGAAGAATGTGCAGGTGACGATCAGATGTGATGGCTCATGCCTGTAACCCCAGCACTTTGGGAGGCTGGGGTAGAAGGATTGCCTGAGCCCACGAGTTTGAAACCAGCCTGGGCCACACAGGGAGACCCCTATCTTTACAAAAAATTAAAAAATTATCTGGGCATGGTGGTGTACACCTGTAGTCTCAGATACTTGGGAGGCTGAGGTGGGAGGATCACTTGAGCCTGGGAAGTCAAGACTGTGGTGAGCTAGGATCGTGTCACTGCACTCCAGCCTGGGCAATAGGGCAAGACCCTGTGTCAAACACACACACACAGACGAACATGCAGGTGGAAAACCGGCTTGTAGGTGGCTGAAATGACATGTATACCAAAAGTCAAGAAACTCAGATGGGAAAAGAGCACAATCACTGCTGAAGCGTAATTTCAAAGATCAAGAAACACACTTTGAACATATGTGAGTTCTTAAATCTGAGAGCCAGGACATGGAATGGAACTAGGAAGAATAAGAGTCCACAGATGTTGAAAGACCGCACGGCTACAGATGGCTGAAGCCTTAAGAAAGAAGGGAGGATACCCAGGAAAGGGAGAATAATCAAGAAAACACCATGTGATCACGGCTGGAAGACGACATTCCTCCTCCAAACCTCGAAACAGTGAAGAAAGGACCCAGGGAGAATGATACCTGAAGGCATTGATGGTGTCTTTGGGGCCCTCCATCAGTCGTGCTTGAGCTTTCTTGAGTATCGGGCTGTGAAAAGGGCATCAGGAGCTGCCTTCCTAAAACCCCAACCCCTCAGGTCATTATTTTACTAACACAATGGCCCCTCAAACGCCTGGGTCCTGCCAATGCACAGGGTCAGCCCCTCTTTGGCACTGCTCCCCTGCTGCATCCATGGCTGTCTACTGAGTTCCAAGCTAAATATCACATTTGGCTTGGTGCACTGACAGTTCTTTGGAAACGACATGGAAATGGCTGATTTGCTCTGCTGAATTCTTGAAATTCATGAATGCTTTCAGGTAGGTTTTTAAAAATGTAGATTGTGTTATTTAGCGTTGATGATGCCAACAGATGAGGAGATTGCCGCTGATGAGTATGTAACTCACAGTTCCCATGAAGAGGGGGCGTATCAAGCTACACAGGGCTAAACAGGGAAGCCTCGCAGTTGGTCAGGAGAGAGGAGTAGCAAGGGGAAAGTGTGGTAAAACCTGTGTTATCATTTCTTCAGTTTTTGTTTTGTTTTGTTTTGAGACGGAGTTTCGCTCTTGTTACCCAGGCTGGAGTGAAATGGCGTGATCTCGGCTCACCCCAACCTCTGCCTCCTGGGTTCAGGCAATTCTCCTGCCTCAGCCTCCTGAGGAGCTGGGATTACAGGCACGTGCCACCATGCCCAGCTAATTTTTGTATTTTTAGTAGAGATGGGGTTTTACCATGTTGACCAGGATGGTCTCGATCTCTTGACCTCGTGATCCACCTGCCTCGGCCTCCCAAAGTGCTGGAATTACAGGCTTGAACCACCGCACCTGGCCCAGTTTTTTTTTTTTTTTTTTTTTTTTAAGAGCCAGGGTCTGGCTCTGTTGTGGCTTAATCACAGCTTACTGCAGCCCTAAACTCCCAGGCTCAAGCAATCCTCCCACCTCAGCCTACTGAGTGGCTGGAACTAGAGGTGTGCACTACTGTGCTCCATGAATTAGGTTTTTTTGTAGAGATGGGGTCTGGCTATGTTTCTCAAGCTGGCCTCAAACTCCTGGCCTCAAGTGAACCACCTGCCTTGGGTGCCCAGTGTCGAGTTCAAGATGTAAGCTACCACACCAGGGCTGTATTGCCATTTTCAAGCAAAGAAACGGGCAAGGCAGAATAAACAAGTCGTGAAATGGCTAGTTTGAACCATTTCAGGGAGCTCGAGAGTGTATGGACCGCTTTTAGCTGCTAACTGGTACTGAGATGATTAAGAAGGGGGATCGTAGCTCCACATGTGAGAACTTGCCAAAGACAGTTGAGGGGTAAGGCTGTGGACTGGCTGGTTTGCACGTGAAAGGCAAGCTAGCACGGGAGACTTCTGCTACCTCTAAGAGGAGCAGTGTCTCCAGGACCAGCAAGGTCCCATCTGTCAAAACATCAGAATAAAAACACATGCTGAGCCGGGCAAGGTAGCTCGTGCCTGTAATCCCAGCACTTTGGGAGGTTGAAGCAAGAGGACTGCTTGAGCTCAGGAGTTCAATACCAGACTGGGCAACACGGAGATCTCATCTCCAGATTAAAAAAAAAAAGTCAGCTGGGCATGGTGGCAAGCACCTGTAATCCCGGTTACTAAGAGGTTGAGGCAGAAGGATCACTTGTGCCCGGGAGACTGAGGCGGCAGTGAGCTATGATTGCACCACTGCACTCCAGCGGGGGTGACAGGATTTCATTAAAGCCACCTGGCCAGTCAATACAAGGCCCGCGGCTCATAACAGAGTATTTCTTCCTGGAGCAGTTTAGGTGAGAGCACACCTGTAAGATGCATAACATGCCTGTGGCAAATAAATAAGAAAATTTTAACACTCAAAACCCAAGGACACTACTGGGCATCCAGAGACACTCCAGCTTCCCACAACTGAGAAAGCAAAGGCCATGGTGAGGCGAGCATGACCAAGAGGCGTGCTGTGCTATTCCCACAAGCCAGAGTCTCAGAGGCCTCCAGGACCCCTCTGCAGAGAACCTCTTGGCTTGAGTCAGCTGCTCTACTCGTCCCAAGTAGAACTCAGACAATCCATGATTCCAGTAACATACTCTTTAATCCCAAGTCACCTGCATTTAATAATGTAGAAATTATTATAAGCGTGTATTATTTAAATCTCTCCCCATTGAAGCCATGAACTAGTCTTAAAAGCAGCAACAACAGGATGACAGATTGTATACATATATACTATAGAAATACACATGGATCTGGCAGCAACATCTTTACAGAAGTGAACAAAAGGAGTACCTGCGATTCACAGCACTTGTAGCCATATTTATGTATTCATACACAATATGAATATTGTGTGCATATATACAGCTTGAAGCCGTACACACACACACACACACACACACACACACAGCAGGCTAGGTCCTTTCTTACAAGACTTTCTCTGTACCTTGTCATAGCTAAATTAAACCTCTAGGCTAGGTTGTTCATAAGTTCCACTGCAACTTAGGATTTTCTTTCTCCTCTTAACAAAACTGAGGAAAGGAGAATTTTTTTTTTTGAGACAGAGTCTCACTTTGTCACCCAGGCTGGAGTTCAGTGGCACGATCTCGGCTCACTGTAACCTCCGCCTCCCGGGTTCAAGCGATTCTACTGCCTCAGCCACCCGAGGTCCTGGGACTATAGGTATGTAGCACCATGCCCGGCTCATTTTTGTATTTTTGTAGATACTGGGTTTCACCATGTTGGCCAGGCTGGGCTCAAACTCCTGATCTCAGATGATTCACCTGCCTTGGCCTCCAAAGTGCTGGGGTTACAAGCCACCTTACATGGTCTGGATTTATTACAATCATTACATAAGCCGTCACCACAGTCATGACCATTATTTTTTTGCTGAAAAAAATTATTTGCTTAATGTTAACATAAATTTGACTTACACAGTTTTTTAGTACCATTTAAGTCACTGTAGAAAAGTTAAAACAGCAGATGGGAGGCTGCTATCCTTTGAGTTTGCAAGGTTCACCCCTGCCGGAGCATGGGACCTTAGATTTCGGGAGCTTTACTACTGCTCCACCCAAAACGGCAGTAGCTCAGTGCCCTGTGTTTAGGTGCTATTCAACAAGACACATCCTGTGTGACTTCACTGAAACAACTCTCAAAAGATTGTGCCTGGTTTTCTCTGAATTTCAGCCTTTCCCTTACAATTTGCCTTGTATTCTTTCGCTGTAGTAAATCTTAGCTGTTGAGTATGACAGAATGCTGAGTCCCAGGTCTTCTCAGCCAACTGTCAAGACAGTCATTCATAACAATTTCTAAAATCACATACAGCTGTCCAGAAAAGCCCAGGTAGATTCTCTTTGAGGTTAAGGAATGCTATATCTGGTGCCACCTATATGCACAGCTTCGTGGCAAACATTCTGAGAGAGAACCAAAAATTGCAATAAAGGCCAGGTGCAGTAGCTCATGCCTGTAATCCAGCACTTTGGGAGGCCGAGGCAGGTGGATCACCTGAGGTCAGGAGTGTGAGACCAGCCTGGCCAACATGGTGAAACCGTGTGTCTACAAAAAAATAAAATCAGCCGGGCATGGTGGCTACTTGAGAGGCTGAGTGGGGGAGAATTGCTTCAACTTGGGGGAGGGGGGTGGAGGTCGCAGTGAACTGAGACTGCAACACTGCACTTCAGTCTGGGTGGCATAGTGAGACTCCCATCTCAAACCACCACCACCACAACGAACTTGCAATAAAAATACTTTGCTGTGTGTGGCCATTTACCAAAGCACACACATGTATGGGGGGGTCTATTAAAAAAAGGTGGAATGAACAGAATGGGGCTGAGACTGGATGGGGGGACGAGGGAAGAAGAGATGGGTGCGATGTGTCTGCCCTGGGCAACAAAGTTCAACCGTGGGAAACTCAGCCTGATCTTCAAACACTCGTAAACCCAATGCACGTCTGACCGCTTCTCTACTTATCCTTAGACCCAGACGGACACTGTTTTCTACAAAATCACAACACACATCGCACCCATTGAACAGTGGGTTTGGTTTACCTTCCTCAAGTTGAAGAAACGGCCGAGATGTGTTGTCAAATGAAGATCGTAGACTACAGCGCTGTTGAATCAACTTTAGTAAAAATCATGACCAGAAGGCAATTCCCAGCCTATGAGGAGCAGTCAGGTGGTTAAAGACATGAATTCTGAAGCCAGTCTGTGGCCTCCAGTCCCTAAACCCAAACTTCCTAATTGTGTAACCCTGGGAAGTTCTTTTTTCATGATCTTGCCAACTCTTTCTTGTAACTTGGAAAAATTCTTTTTTTTTTTTAAGATGGGGTTTCACCCTGATGGCCAGGCTGGTCTTGAGCTCCTGACCTCAGGTGATCCACCCACCTCGGCCTCCCAAAGTGCTAGGATTATAGGTGTGAGCCACCGCGCCCGGCCAGGAAAATTATTAACCTGAGTCTATCTATACTCTGATCTGTAAAATGGAGGAAACAGCATTACCTACTGCACAGAGATGCTGTAAATGTTAAAAGAGCTGATGCATATAAAACATTCACAACAACGTCTGATACACAGCGACACTACTTTTGCATGCTCTTATAATTGTGGGGCATCCCCACAGACAGGGCCATGGCCACATGGCACATACATACAGGCTCAGTGTTTGTAAATACAGAAAAAGTGTAGAAACATGGCCAGCGGGTCACAGACATGAGAAACATCTGGTCTGGAGACATGGATTTGGGGAAATTCTGTAGATTATTGATGTAAAGTGTCTTCAGCAGGAATCATCTCATTCACAGAGCTTACGGCAAGTAAAAAAGCCACAACCAATGATGGATTCTGGGAAACAAAAATGTTTAAGAGTTGGAAGGAAGGGCCGGGCACAGTGGCTCACGCCTGTAATCCTAGCACTTTGGGAGGCCAAGATGGGTGAATCACCTGAGGTCAGGAGTTCAAGACCAGCCTGGCCATCGTGGGGAAACCCCATCAAAAAAAAAAAAAAGAGTTGGAAGGAAGATACAGACCCTCTGGAGGAGAAAGACAGCAACTGGCAGAAGCCAGGAAAGAACCTTCAGGTCAGAGGGATGGTCGGCAGTACAAAGGTCTAATAAGGCAGTAAAAGGACAAAGGATGGAAGCTCTTCTGTAGCTGCCCATGGAGTAAAAGAAATGAGAATGGCGGGGAACAGGTAGTGTGCTTCTGCAGGAGACAGAAGAAAGAGGGAGGCTGATGGGCAAGCAATGTGGAAACCGTTTGGGGATGAGGACAGAGACTTGAACACAGATACAGAGTAACGGGGAAAAATCTAGTTGTTACAGACAAGTTGAAGACTAAGCGAGGAAGTAAGCAGAGGAGCCTAGAAACAACTGGGCAGGAAGTGGGAAAGTGTGTCCGATAAAAGGCAAGAGGGATCCCGGAAGAGAAGTGACTCCTTCCTGAGGATACAACACGGCTTAGGCAGCTAGGGCATTTTACAAACGTTCCACGGACAACACGACTCTCAACAATCTGCACATCACCCTCAGTTGTAAGAGCTGTTCATAGAAATCTTTGTGAGGCACGACTGAGGAGACTGCAGGCTTTCTATTCCCCCAGAGAGTTTAACATTTCTATTCAAATGTCAAGACAAACCACCACAGAACCATGACTTTGGAATACGATTGTCTATTCTCTGAGAGTCTTTCTTTGGCAATAAAAACGAAGCAAAGAAATAGAAGGTGTACAAAAGAACGAAATGGAAATTAAACTGGAAAATACAAAACCAAGATGAAAAATCACGGGAGAAACGCAACAGATTAGGTGTGACAAAGGAAACAATCAGTGAGGACCACGGACCGTCAACAGAAATTAATTAATATTAACGACAGAGAAAACAGAATGGAAAATGAAGAAAGACGAAAGCCTGAAGGACCCATGGGAGTGTAAAAAAAGATCTGCCATTCATGTTATTGAAGTCCCTAAAAAAGACAAGACGGGGTGTGAAAAAATATTTGAAGAAATAGGAGTTGAAAATCCCCCAAAGTTAGCAAAGGTATAATCCTATAGATTAAAAAGCTGGGCAGGCATCAGGGAACACCAAGTAAGATACACTCAAAAAATTCCACGCCACGCACATCATAGTCGAACTTCTGAACACTATGGACAATGAAAAACACGCTGGATGAAGCTCAACAGAACTGATGCATTGCCAAATAGGGAATGATTATCTGAATGGTAGTAGATTTCTTATATTAAACCATAACGGACAGAACAGAGAGACATGTTTCTCAAGTATTAAAAGAAAACTGTAATCCCAGCACTCTGGGAGGCCGAGGCGGGTGGATCACGAGGTCAAGAGATCGAGACCATCCTGGTCAACATGGTGAAACCCCGTCTCTACTAAAAATACAAAAAATTAGCTGGGCACGGTGGTGCGTGCCTGTAGTCCCAGCTACTCGGGAGGCTGAGGCAGGAGAATTGCCTGAACCCAGGAGGCGGAGGTTGCGGTGAGCCGAGATCGCACCATTGCACTTCAGCCTGGGTAACGAGTGAAACTCCGTCTCAAAAAAAAAAAAAAAAACAACACAACTGAGGACTCTACACCCCACACATATATTCTTTGGGAATGAAGCAAACATAAAGATACCTTTAGAGGAAGGAAAACAAGGAACAGTTGTTACCCTAGAAAAAAGGCCACAGTAAGTTCAGTAGTGTGTAACGGAAAGGAAATGTTAATAGAAGAAGGCTTGGGACTTCAAGAAGGAAGAATGAACGATGGAATGGGTAAACAGGTCGAGACAATGCTCCTCACGACCTTTTGTAAAATACGCGAGAGATAAAGCAAAAATTACATCACGTACCATAGTGCTCAATTTTTGAAGAGGAATTACTTAAGATAGTTACATTAAGAGGTAGGGTAAAGGAACCCAGGAAGTGCTAAACTGTGGATACTTACATCAGCAATTACAATATTACAACTGTACCCGTGATAAAGTTGTCAAATTGCTGATAACTTACTAAACTGTCGTGTTATAGATTTACAGTGCAATGGTAGGACAGTCACTAAAAAATGCAGATATATGTAGTCCCTGACTTACGATGGTTCCACTTATTACTTGACTTTACGTGGTGCAAATGCTTCATGCACTCAGTAAAGCCATACTTGAATTTTTATTCGAAATTCTTTGCAGTAATTTTATTATGAAATAGGCCTTGTGTTAGATGATTTTACCCAACGGCAGGCTAATGTAAATTTGCTGAGAGTGTTGAAGGCAAGATCGGCTATGATGTTTGGTAGGGCAGGTGTATTAAATACATATTTGACTTAATATTTTCAACTTGTAATGGATATTTTGGGATATAACCCCATCACAAGTCAAGGAGCATCTACACTAAAAACACTACGCATATATCAAATCAAACTCTAAGGAAAAAGATGAACTAGCCTATAGGAAGGTAAGTAAACAACCCCAAATAACAAGGAGAGGGACAATAAAACAAAAAAGCACACGAAAATCACTTAAGGGCAGCATTAAGCCCTAAAATATCACTAGTCATTTTAATTTAACTGATTTCAATATACCAATTAAGAGAGAAATATGCAAAATGCATGGCCTTGAGTATATGCTGTTCAAAGAAACTGACTTCATAAGTAATGAAACAGAAAAGGTTTAAAATACAATGAAGAAATATTAACCATGCAAACATTAATCAAAATATGCAGGAGTCACTATAAAAATATCAGCTGAAGTACTGACAAGACTATTAAAAGGCAAAAAAAGGACATGAGTAAGGATAAAAGAGTCAATTTACCATGAAGATTTGGCGGATCTACATGTGTATGTACCAAATAATAGAGCTTTGAACTTTGCGCAACGAAAAGTGACAGAACTTCGAAGAGCAACAGACAACACACTCCCACAATTATGTTCAGGACTTTTTTTTTTTTTTGAGACAGAGTCTCACTCTGTTGCCCAGGCTGGAGTACAATGGCATGATCTTGGCTCACTACAACCTCCACCTCCTAGGTTCAAGCAATCCTCCTGCCTCAGCCCCTCCTCAGTAGCTGGGATTACAGGCATGCGCCACCATGCCTGGCTAATTTTGTATTTTTAGTAGAGACAGGGTTTTGCCATGTTGGCCAGGCTGGTCTCAAACTCCTGACCTAAGGTGATCCGCCTGCTTCGGCCTCCCAAAGTGTTGGCATTACAGGCGTCAGCCACCACATCCAGCCTATGTTCAGGACTTGAACACCAGTCTTAGCAAATGACAGAAATGTTAGACAGAAAATCAGCAAGGACACAGCTGACCTGACTAACAATGAGCAGGATCATACAGACATTTGTAGAAACTCGATCCAGTAACAGCAGAACGCCCATTCCTTTCAAGCAGCCATGTGGAACAAGACAGACCCTATCCTGGGTCATAAAAAATGTTAACACATTTAAATGGTCAGATCAAATATGGAACAAATGAGAAAACAGTAACAAATACACTGAACACTAGAAAATTAAACATACTATTAAATAATTCATGGCTTAGAGAGATTATTTTTAAAAATATAAATATTAGAATTGAGTAAAATGTAACAGAAACATATTAAAACTTGTGGGATTAAACTAATTGTGACGTTAGGAAAATTTATAGAATGTAATGCTTACATTAAAAAAGCAAAAAAAAACTCAAATAAATAATCTAAAAACCCACTTTGGGAAAACTTACAAAGAGCCAAATACAACCAAACCAAGTGGAAGAATATAATACGGATCAAAGCAGAAATCAAAGAAATCAAGAACAGAAAGAGACAAATCGAGAATATAAAGCGCTAGTTCTCTGAGGTGAGAGATGAAGCAAAAATTACACCTTTCAGCACGGTGCACAATAGAACTGATTCATGTCTAAGAAGACTCACGACCACGGAGAGAGCACACGCATTTCAGATATCAAAAATAAAATGATGTAAGTTCAGATCCTGCTGTCCAAACAGTAAGGGAATGCTACAAGAATATTTCCTCAACAGAACACAAACAAAGGGAATAATGTCAAATGATACATAAAAACAATTATACGCTACGAACAAGTCTGGCTCAATATTCAAAACTCTATCAAAGCAGTACATTCTACCACTGGGATGTGGAAGGAAAGTGGCATGACGCTATCAATCAGTGGAGAGAAAGCACTGAACGCAATTCGGCACTCATTCACGGCAACACAGAAACTCAAAACACTGTGAACAGAGGACATTTTTAATACTTACAGAGAACATATGCTTTACAAGACTTACATTATACTTCATGATTAAAAACTGAACATGCTGGGCACAGTGGCTCATGCCTGTAATCCCAGCACTTTGGGAGACCCAGGCAAGCAGACTGCTTGAACCCAGGAGTTTGAGATCAGCCTGGGAATCATGGTGAAACGCTGTCTTTACAAAAAAATACCAAAATTAGCCGGGCGTGATGGTGCATGCCTGTAGTACCAGCTACTGAGGGTTGGTAGAGGCTGAAATGCAGGGATCACTTGAGCCTGGGAAGTCAGGGCTGTGGTGAGACAAGATTGTGCCACTGAGCTCCAGCCTGGGTGACAAAGTGAGATCCTGTCTCAAAGAAAACAACTGAACGTTTTCCCCATAATACCAGGAACCAGGTAAGGATGGCCTTTCTCATCACTCCTATTCAACATTATAACCAAAGTCCCAGCTTGTGCAACGCAAGAAGACCAACAAAAAGGAAATAAGGAGTATACAGAGAAGATGAAAGATAAAAAATGGTCTATATTTGCAGATAACGTTTCTATATAGAAAATTCCAAGGATTCTGTCAAAAGAAATTGCTAAAAATAAGTGGACTTACCAAGGTTGGAGGGTAGCAAAACAATGTCCAAAAAATTATATTTGTGTATACTACCAAAAATTGTGTGCAACTCAAAGTTTAAACATCAATGGCAGTTACAATCACTCAGATTCCACACACAAACGAAAAAGCAGCACAGGATGCAGATTTTACCAAAAATGCATAGGGATGTATAAGCTGAAACTTTTAACTTAATGAAATACTTTGAGGAACGAGACCTGCTGAACTCATGAACTACAAGGCTCAACAGAGTGAAGACACCAATTCTTAACAGATTAGTCCGCAGATTTAATTCCGTTTCTGTGAAAATCTGAGCAAGATGGTTTTGTAAATATGTACAAACTGATTCTAAAAACTAGACGGAATGTCAAAGGAACTAAAAACGCTAAGTCGATTTTAAATAGGAGCAAAAAAGGATCACTTTACTCAATTAAAAAATTGACCAATGGTGGGGCGTGGTGGCTCATGCCTATAATCCAAGCACTCTGGAGGCCAACACAGGCGGATCACCTGAGGTTGGGAGTTCAAGAACAGCCTGACCAACATGGTGAAACCCCGTCTTAAAAAAAAAAAAAAAAAAAAAATGACCACTGACATTTTGAGCTAAATAATTTTTTTTAAATTTAACAAAAATTTACCATATAGCTACAGTAATGAAGTTAACCAAAAGATGGGCATCAAGAAAAAGCCTGAGTGCTAAGACACGTAACCTCACTGATTTAAATGTTGGGTGTTTCATGGTTCAAGCCCCCTAAACTGTCACAGAGTTATGCTTCTCAAGAGTAAGTACTATCGGGAACACAGCAGATGTGCGATCCAAGTTTGCAGACTTGTCCTAAACTCACTCTTCTGACACTGGATAGCAATAAATGTATATACAAGACACAAAAAGGGTCAAGGCCCTTTACCTTGAAACACTTCCCTTCCCCCAAATACACTAAGGAATCTAGGACAAAGCGCTGCAGGCTTGGCAGAGAAGTCTAAAAAGATGTGTGCTTGCATTTCATTTTTTTCTATGTTTCCTCCTCCTTCTAAAAAATAATTCCTGAGATAACATTGCACTGTAAACTACGGAGAAAGATGCAGCTGAAGGTTTTCCTGTGTGCACAGTAACCACCAGGTCTCTCTCCAGGATAAATTATCAGATGGAGAATAAGGCTCTAGACGGAATGAATTTGACTCTTCAGATACACGTCATGTTCAGCAACAGAAGGTTTTCTCACAGTGAAGACACTTGTGGGGTTACTCTTTGGTATGGTTGGTCAGATGTAGAGGAAGATGTTTCCTCTGGCAAAATATTTGCCTCAGTGGTGACATTCAAAAAGTCCTTCCCTAAAAGAAGTTCTCGAAGGGTAACTGAGGTCTGCCCACTTGTGAAAGGTCTTCCCACATCTGTTACACTGATAGGATTCCTCCCAGTGTGCATCCTTTGATGCTGAGTGAGGGATGAGCTGCGACTGAAGGCCTTTCCACATTCACTGCACTTATAGGGCTTCTCTCCAGTGTGGATGATGGAGTGTCGAATGAGGTTTGTGCTCCAGCAGAAAGATTTCCCACACTCAACACATTCATAGGGCTTCTCTCCACTATGAATCCGCTTGTGCCTTGTGAGGCCTGACATGCGAGTAAAAGCCTTTCCACACTCCACGCACTCATAGGGCTTCTCCCCAGTGTGGATGCTGAAATGTCGAATGAGGTCCTTCCGATTGCTAAAGGCTTTCCCACATTCTTTGCACTCGAAAGGTTTTTCTCCAGTGTGGGCCCTTTTATGCAAGATAAAAGTAGAGCAGTGGGTGAAGGCCTTTCCACACTCACTGCACACGAAAGGCTTCTCCCCAGTGTGAATCCGCTGGTGCCTCTTGAGGTATGACCGGTGGTTGAAAGCCTTCCCACACTCGAGGCACTCAAAGGGCTTCTCCCCAGTGTGGATGACATAGTGGTGAATAAGGGCTGCGCTCTCCAAGAAGACCTTCCCACATTCACTGCACTCATAGGGCTTCTCCCCTGTATGAGTCTGCTGGTGCCACATGAGGTATGACCTGTGTTTGAAGACCTTGCCACACTCCAAGCACTCGTAGGGATTCTCACCACTGTGGACAACATAGTGCCGAAGAAAGCCTGGCCTATGTCGAAAGACTTGCCCACACTCTGTGCACACAAAGGATTTTTCTCCAGTGTGTCTCCTGTTGTGCAGGACAAAATTGGAGCGGTGGGTGAAGGCCTTTCCGCATTCACTGCACTTGTAAGGCTTCTCTCCACTGTGAATCCGCTGGTGCTGAGTAAGGTATGACTTCCGGTTAAAGGCCTTTCCACACTCCATGCACTCATAGGGCCTCTCCCCAGTGTGGATCATGTGGTGCTGCAGGAGATGTGTGCTCTTAATAAAGGTTTTCCCACATTCTGTGCATTCATAGGGCTTCACTCCAGAGTGAATTTTCTCATGTCCAGCAAGGAGGTGTTTCTTGTTAAATACTTTTCCACATTCACTGCATTTAAAGGTATTTTCCTCTTCCTGAATCATGGGACCTTTACCTGATTCACATGAGTTATGGCTATGGACTGTATCTGCCGGAGGGACTTGCTCCTGTCCAACCCTTGAACACACACCGTCAGCTGTCCCCACACCATCACATTCAGGGCTCATCTTCCCAGGAAGTTTCTGCTGGGGATCTATTCCTGGTATGGAGTGTCTTTCCTGCATTTCTGATAGCCCATCCTGATCCTTGGCTTGCCCCAACTGGGAGTCCACTGAGTTTCCTTGTGTCAGTTGTCCCTGAAGTGAGATTCCCTCTGACAAAGCTGGATCACAAGTAGTAGGTTCTGTGGTCTTCGGCTTTCCTTTGTCACCTGGAAGAAATCCAGTTCCCCAAAGGGCCTGTTAGTAATGGACACCATGGAAAGAAGAATATTACCATTTCTGTAAAAAAGCACAGATAAAAATATTGGTTCTGTGTCTCAAATTCTTGGGTTTGCAATTCTTTCTGTTCTGGCCCCTGGACTCGGGATACCCTGAAAGGGAGACCTAGTGGGGAGGGGCTGGCTGAGGAGACCGTGAGTTTGTAGTGGGGCTTCAGTTACACACTGGACCTGGGTGGACAGGGTAACGATTATACTGTGCATGGTAAGTTTCCTTTAAGCAATAAGCAAGGACGTTCTGTGTCACCACAAGAACAAGAGGAAGGAGCACCTCATGAGCCCACATGGAAGACAGGAAGTAAGCGACAAAAATTAATTCCCAAAAAGTAGTACGCTTGCTGTGTGAAGTCATGGAAAGTAACCTGTAAACAATTCCAAAATGTTTTTACTCATGGTGGGACCCAACGGCCCTAACTGACAGTTTATGTAAACGGGTAACTCATTATGGATCCCTCCACAGTTTATCCTGAAGAGATGACTCAGGCCACAGCAGAACACTAAACCACGTGATCAGAAGCTTGGGGCTTAATGTAACATCAACGCTCAGTCTCTGGAAAGGATGACATGCTGGAAACTGAGCCACACAAGTGATCACACAATCAACCGTGGTTATGTAATGACGCTTCAGTACAATTCTGGGCAATGGAGAGCTGGTGAGTGTCCTGGGTTGGCAACACTCTAAGCTCATATGCCAGACTGGGGCAGAGTGAGCTCCTGAAGAAACGGGGACTTTGTGTTGGGAACCTTTCCAACTTCACATTCTGTGTCATTTCTAATTTGTTCCTTTTGTCTGTAATAAACATGACTGTAACTAAAATAGGTTTTAGGAGTTCTGTGAGTCTTTTTAGCCAATTAGTAAACCTGACAGTGGCTTTGGGATCCAAACTTGTAGTCGGTGTCAGAAGAGCTGGACAGACCTGGTAGTTTTAGAGGACTGTGTCCTTAACCTTGAGTTCAGCTGATCCTGGTTAGGAAGAAATCAGAGTTTTCCCATAAGGAGTGCTCGACGAAGTGAGTCCTATGCTTGTGAAGAAGAGCTGCCATAAAGAGAAAGTGGGAAGGACACTGTAGTCTTAGGAGACAATACAAAGAAACTGCAGGATGGTATGGATGACAATCCAGGGACAGAGGGGAAACTGACTGTCATGATTCTGAGCTGGGTGACAGTGAAGGTCATGTGACTAATGCTACTATCAATCCAGGGCTCATGAGAAAAGAGGTAAGAGGACCTGGCTTGACACACACATATGCCCAGGAACAGCCTGGTAAAAAGAGTAGCACCATACACATCATCAATGGCCAGGCTGCTGTGTTTGGTGCTGCTCTTTTCATCTCAGCCTCCCAAAGCCTGTAATCCCACTGCTTTGGGAGGCCAAGATGGGCAGATTACTCGAGCCCAGAAGTTCAAGACCACTCAGAAACACAGCAAGCCCCCATCTCTATAAAAAAATTTTTAAAAACAAAACCAGAAGCACATTAGCCAGGCATGGTGGGGCAAACTACCCTGTCTCTTAAAAACAAACAAAAAACCCCAAATACACATAATCAAGATGAAGAAAATTATAAAATCTTATTTGAAGGTAATAAAGAAGATCTATATCAATGAAGAATTTAATAATATGAACTGACAATTTGACCCAAATTATATAAATTCAATATAATTCCCTGTAAAATACCAACTACACTTAATTATGGAACTTGATGGTATGTTAAATTAAGTAAATGAAGCTAGAAAAACTGGCTAGCCACATGGAGAATGAAAATAACTGTACTGCTATCTCACTATATAGTCCAAATCAACCTCACTGAAAAAATGTCAAGTGCCAAGTTTTAAGACTTTTAGAATAAAATATATATTTAATATTAGGTGAATCAACATTTTTATATAAGACAAAAAGTCATTAATTATATAAGAAAAGTCATAAGTTAAACTACAGTAAATTAAGCGAAAAAGGTATCTTTTGGTGAAAAAGATACTTTAAAAAGGGTAAGAGGACAAAATTAAAAACTAGAATATATTTTTCAGCATATGTAAGTGATAAAAGGTAAGCATAAGAAATGTACAGAGAATCCCTACCAAGCAAACAAAGAAAGGAAAGCAGGTTAATGGAATATGAATTTATTGTAAAGTAAATAAAGATCTGTATTTTCACAGGAGAAAATATAAATGAACTAAAAATCACAGTAAGTTGCTAAAACATTTCAGCAGCAAAAGAAAGGCAAATCAAGAGCACATGAGACTGTTCTGTGTTCATTTAATGAACAGACATTGAGAAGCCTCATAATGAAAAGGTCAATGGAACCTCTCCTTCCTGGTTGAGTGCAAACTGGTATAGGCTCTTTAGAAAACAATGGGAATGATCTCGCAAAGCTGAGCATTTGCATAGCCTACAAACCAATAATTTCACTCCAAGAATTATAAAAATACACACCTACACATGTGGAAATGAACTACATATATGAATGTCCGCAGTATCTCTGCTTTTGTGAATGAACACAGACAATCATTATTTTTTGCCTCTGGTTCATGGTCTCTCATGAACTATTTTTACTTATTTATTTTTTTGACATAGGATCTCACTGTCACCCAGGCCAGAGTGCAGCGGCATGAATAAGATCACTTCAGCCTCAACCTTGTGGGCTCAAGAGATCCTCCACCTCCGCCTCCTGAATAGCTGGGATCACAGGTATGAGCCACCATGCCCAGCTAATTTTTTAAATTCTGTAGAGATGGGGGTCTCGCCATGTTTCCCAGGTTGGTCTCAAACTCCGGAGCTCAAGTGATCCTCCCACCTCAGCCTCCCAAAGTGCTGGGATTATAGGCATGAACCACTGGGCCAGCCAAATCTAGACAATTAAGTGCCCACATAGTCAACAAACATATCAATGAATATATAAATATGTCATGAGCCACAAGCATTTGCTTCGTAACTCAAAACAAAGTGTAAGAAACTTGAGGCCGGGCATGGTGACTCAAGCCTGTAATCCCTGCACTTTGGGAGTCCGAAGTGGATGGACTGCTTGAGGCCAGGGGTTTGAGACCAGTCTGGGCAACACAGTGAAACCCTGTCTTTCCTAAAAATACAGCCAGGCGCAGTGGCTCAAGCCTGTAATCCCAGCACTTTGGGAGGCCGAGGGAGGCAGATCACCTAAGGTCAAGACAAGCCTGGCCAACGGGGTGAAATCCTGTCTCTATTAAAAATGCAAAAAATTAGCCGGGGGTGGTGGCAAGATGCCTGTAATCCCAGCTACCAGGGAGGCTGAGGCAGGAGAACTGCTTGAACCCAGAGCCGGAGGTTGCAGTGAGCTGAGATCGTGCCACTGTACTCCAACCTGGGCAGTGAGAGTGAAACTCCGTATCAAAAACATATACATAAAAATCAGCCAGGTGTAGTGGCATGCACCTGTCATCTCAGCTACCTGGGAGGCTGAGGCACAGAGACTGCAATGAGCCAAGATAGCACCACTGCACTCCAGCCCAGGCTATACAGTGAAACTCTATCTTAAAGAAAGGGAAAAGTTAAAAAAAAGAAGCAAGCATATTTTTGAGTAGAGAAAGGATGAAATTACAAAACAAGCAGAATATAAATGAAGGATGTCCATGAAAGGGAATGTGATCTAGACCCTGGTGTAGGGACTGGCTGTGGCTGGAGCAAGACCTCGTCCAGTAAGGAAGAGAGAAGTTATCAATACAAGAAGTTGAGATGAATACGGAACGGCTGCTGATCAAGCAATACACGACAGCAGACATCCTTCTAACACGAAAGCATGCTGATACACATCAGCACTCGTATGCTGAGACATCTGCGCCTGAAGACGAAAACTGTCTGGCTGGCTGGATGCAGGGCCTCATGGAATGGTGGGGTTGACCTGTCTTGAGGTTGGGTCTAGTCTCCTAATCTACCTGGATGGCAAAAGCATTCACAGAAACTTGGGAGGCGGCAGGAGTCAGCAAGATCACGGATTCCTTCTTAGGCATGCTGAGTTTCGGGCTTTTGAGATTTTCAAGTGGAGATGTGACACTGAAGAGGGAACAGTCTAGAACAGACTCCGAGGGCTGAACAGGGACTGCACAGACACTCAGGGTTGGATGAGCAGCTCAAGGAACCCATGCAGGCAGAGGCCTAGGCTCTGCAGTGGCACCAATCCACACACCTGACAGAGACCCCAGTGCCCTCAGAAGCCTGACTGTGGGACAGAGGTCATATGTCATCCTGAGGGTTTTGGAAAACAGGAGATATAGGAAGAAATGGGAAAAGGACTGCTTTTTAGTGTCTCACTGACACTCAGGGGATGGGTGGAAGGAGAAGGTGGGGAAGGCTGGTAGGCAGAATGTAAGTGGAAAGAGAAATTGGGAGGGTGAGGTAAACTGTGCAGCTTTATGCATTAATGTATCACATAATTACATCTTCAAACTGCCCAGTGACATAAGAATAATTTCTGCTAACACTTTTCAGGAACAGACTTGGCGCAGTGGACTGAGCAGGTGCTCACTGAACCATCTGCTCTTCTCCTTGCACAGGCAGCTCAGCCACTGCCCAGACCCACGGACCCAAGCCAAACGCCTAGTTCCTGTGGGTGGAATGTAAGGGGAGTTGCTATCTCTGGAGGGGGGTGTAACTTCCCTTATTCTCTCAATTCTCTGCCTGCTCAAGGATGTCAGGATAATCTTAACGCAACAGGCTGATGACAGAAGGAAGCTGAGTCCTGAATAGCCATGTGGTACAGAACCCTCTGCTGACCCACACAGACCTTGGTACGAGTGAGAGTTTTCATATGTGAACCACTGAGATTTTAGTCTGTCTGAAATAGTAGCTACTGTTAACTTAGCTGAAGTTATATATAAAGACAGGAGATCCTGCATCTTCATCAGGGCCACATAGCAGGTGATTGGCAGGCCACATTCGAGGCCTGCATAGTTGGAACCCCCAGACACATCTTAGTTTGTAAATCCCACTCCTTTCTAGGAATGGTGACAATGTGATGGGGCTGGGAGGACAGAGAAACCACAGGTCAAATGGCTCCATGGCTCTCAAATGGAGCATTCTACTGTCATCTACTGTAAGAGTTATACATAGACAGGCCACACTGAGAAGCTTCCCAAGAGATCCCAGGGCCAGTGGTCTCCTCAGTCTCAAACCTGCAGGGATTCCCACTTGCCCAGATCTTGGCTCCTACCTGGACGGGTGCCTTGGGAGAGGTCTTCCTTCCCGGTCCATGGCTCCTGCCCATGATCTAGGTGGTAGATCAGCTCTGGTCTGGGAACAGGACACCCTGTTTATGGAGAAAGAAAGTGGACACATGCATGTTGGTGAAAGGACATACAGACGTACAATCTAGTCTGGGACTTCAGGATGGGGACCAGACCTTGGAATGAAGCTGCTCCTGTGCATGGGGACGAAAAGCTGGCATGTGACCTGGAAACAAGAGCAGGCCATGCCATGCTGCCGTGGGATCTCTACCCCTGACAGTAAGTCAAGAACGAGGACTTATAGGCTGTAACCATGTCCAGGGGAACGAAAAGCTGGCGTGTGACCTGGAAACAAGAGCAGGCCATGCCATGCTGCCGTGGGATCTCTACCCCTGACAGTAAGTCAAGAATGAGGACTTATAGGCTGTAACCATGTCCAGGGGAACGAAAAGCTGGCGTGTGACCTGGAAACAAGAGCAGGCCATGCCATGCTGCCGTGGGATCTCTACCCCTGACAGTAAGTCAAGAACGAGGACTTATAGGCTGTAACCATGTCCGGGGGACTGGGCCACACAAGTTAACTTCATTATGTCATTCCAAAAGTGAGTATTTATGGAATACCTTAGAGAAAAACTGATGTGTTTACATATTAAATAATGACTCTTGTCATTCAAAACAAGGTATGTGATTTCAGTGACGTGAGTCTTACTTTTTTTGCATTCTAAGCAATGTTTTATAATGCTCTTCCTGTAGACCAAAGACAAAATGAGGATTCTAGCTGAGGATTTTCCCACAGCATCCCCAGGAAGTCCACATCGTGATCAACACCATTTACCGACAAAGAAACCCAGGCTCAGGAAGTAGTGATTTGCTGAAGAGCACAGAACTGGGAATGGCTGAGTCAGTAAGCACCTGGTCCTGCCATGTCTGTGCTGTTTAACCACAAAGCTCCACAACGCTGCCCAGAAAGTGCCAGGTCCAGGCATGCCAATGACAATAATCATGATGAGATGACAGTAACAGTACTGGTGGCAACGGGGATTGCAATGGCTCCCTGCCCACAGCCTGGTCTCCCAGGTGCTCTTCTGAGCCCTTTTCATGTAATAACTGTATTAGTCAGTTCTCAGGCTGCTAACAGACGTATCTGAGACTGGGTACTCTACAAAGAAAAGGAGGTTGAATGGACTCGGTTTCACATGGCTGGGGAGGCCTCACCATAATGACAGAAGGCAAAGAAAGGTACATTTTACAGGGCAGCAGGCAAGAGGTCATGAGTAGGGGAACTCCCCTTTAGAAAACCATCGGATCTCATGAGACTTATTCGCTATCACGAGAACAGCATGGGAAAAACCACCCCCATGATTCAATTGCCTTGCACAACACGGGGATTATTTCAATTCAAGGTGAGATATGGGTGCCGACACCGAGCCAAAGCGTAACAGTAACACTACCCACGGTGATGGTGATGCAGAGACACGATGCTGATGGGATGCAGATGTGCTAAGTCCTCATCTTACCAATGTGCACACTGAGGCACAGACAAAGTTGGTAATTTGTCCAAGGCCACTGGGTTTTAAAGAGCAGCGCTGGGGCTGGACACCATGGTTCTGGCTCCCGTCCCAAACACGGCACTGAGGAGGAAACTACTAGAATCATAGAGTATGTGGTGGGTGGTGATGATGATGCAGAGACGTGAGCTGGGACTCATCCTCAGGGTACTAGCACCACAGAGTACGTGGTGGTCGGTGATGATGATGCAGAGACGTGAGCTGGAGGACTCATCCTCAGGGTACTAGCACCACAGAGTACATGGTGGTCGGTGATGATGATGCAGAGACGTGAGCTGGAGGACTCATCCTCAGGGTACTAGCACCACAGAGTACATGGTGGTCGGTGATGATGATGCAGAGACGTGAGCTGGAGGACTCATCCTCAGGGTGAGGGTCCGGTTCAGGGACTCCAGACCTCAGTATTTCATGAACCACTAGAAATTTTAAAAAGTGAACCTTCTACTGTGATAGGGTTATATAAGGACATTTACAGAAACATCAAGTAGTGTACTCTCAACATTTTATAAAAAGAGAACTTCTAATTAAAAAGAATACCCACAAAGGACAGCTTCATAGATGAAGATTGATCCTCTAACCTGAGTAAGTTCAGGCTCAGTCAGACGGAAATACCGTAGGCATATTTTCTTCACTTTGCTCAGAACATCTTGAAGCCTTTTCAGACTTTGGGAGAGACTGCTCCTCTCAGGGACAGGTGATTTCTAGGAATACAAACTCCCCTGGAAACAAGCACATGCCTTTCATGTGCAATCCACCTAATACGAAACCATACCCCCAACCACTTCCTTAACGAACTCTCATATACGGAGTATTTTCCCTGCCCTACATCAACCCAGGGCCAGGTGCCAGACAACTAGAGATAGTCCCTATGCCCCAGATCTCACTGAAATTACTCAAATTGGCCAGCCCTAAACTGTTTACCACGCCCTGTCTTGCTTTTCCAGAAGAAACCCCACTATGAAGGGAAAACTCTCTCTAATCATGTTTTTTCTCCACTGCCACACCGTGACAACAATCGATACAGAACAAGACTTCTATGACCAAATGTGTGGGGTTTTTCCCCAGACTCCAAGCAGCGGACACCAATGTGGGGCGGGTGTCCTCTAATTGTTCGCACACGATCCACTGAGATGGCTTCAGAACCTACAGGTTGAGGGCTGAGTCTGCAAGCCTGCCCCACCCTACATACCAGTCCCAAGGCCAGGCATCGAACATGTCTGATGGGCTTGGAGCCAGGGTTCCCGAGACCCCCTTTGGGTTCCATTAATTTGCCAGAGTAGCCCACGAACGGAAGGAAACACTCATGTTTCCCAGTGTATTATAATGGGTATTGCAGAGGATACAGATGAAGCCACTCCTACGGCGAGATGCTGGCAAAGGGGCACAGAGCTTCCGTGTCCTTCCTGGGGGAACCACTTGGAAGCTCACTGGACTGTGACCTCTTACAGAGTCTCACTCTGTTGCCAGGCTGGAGTATAGTGGCGCCATCTCTGTTCACTGCAACCTCCAGCTCCCTGGTTCAAGTGGTTCTCCTGCCTCCTGCCTCAGCCTCCCGACTAGCTGGGATTACAGGCATGCACTACCATGCCCAGCTAATTTTTTTATTTTCAGTAGAGATGGGATTTCACCATGTTGGCCAGGATGGTTTCCATCCCCTGACCTCATGATCCACCCACCTTGGCCTCCCAAAGTGCTGGGATTACAGGTGTAAGCCACCATGCCCAGCCAACTGTGACCTCTTGAGTCTTTTTTTTTTCTTTTTCTTTGAGATGGAGTTTCGCTGTTGTTACCCAGACTGGAGTGCAATGGCACCATCTCGGCTCACCGCAACCTCCTGAGTAGCTGGGACTACAGGTACGCGCCACCATGTCCAGCTAATTTTTTGTATTTTTAGTAGAGACGGGGTTTCACCTTGTTGACCAGGATGGTCTCGATCTCTTGACCTTGTGATTCACCCGCCTCAGCCTCCTAAAGTGCTGGGATTATAGGTGTGAGCCACCGCACCCGTCAGGTTTCTTTTTTTTTTTTTTTAAAGATGGGGTTTCACCATGATGGCCAGGCTGGTCTTGAACTCCTGATCTCAGGTGATCCACCCACCTTGGCCTCCCAAAGTGCTAGGATTACAGGTGTGAGCCACCGCGCCTGGCCGGCCTCTTGAGTCTTTATGGAAACTTCCCAACATCAGCATTCCTTCCCCAGGGTCTAGGGTTGGGCCCACTCATAAGACCCACAATCAGAAAGGTGGAGGAACGTTAGAGTGAAAGGAAGGCAGGAGAAGGTCAGAGCCCTGCCCTCAAGGCCTAACGCACCCAACATTTTAACAGAAGGGCTATGGGGGTTATGAACCAGGAGCAGCGGACAAAACCCAGCATGTATCGTAAGACACCTTCACCCTCCCCTTCCACGCCTGTAAGTTCAATGAGATTATGCACATAATAAAAGGATTTGGAGTTCAGAGCTTGGGGCCAACGCTTGGGTCCAGGGGACCAACGCTGTAAACTCTACTCTTGTGTCTCTGTCTCTATTTCCTTTTCTCAATCCCTTGGCACCAGCAGGACTAAGGGCACCAGCATACGGGGTTGGGACTGGTACCCAAAGTGAAGAAGCTCAGTAGACTGCTGCTGCTTTCTATCTCTCAGCCAGAATGCCTCTGAGAAAGGGTGGGACCCAAAGAATGACACGCTTAGTCAAACTTCATGCAGTCAACTTGGCACCAAACGCCCCATCTTCAGAGTTACTGCAAACTGCTGATTGCCTAAAAATGGTCCCTTTCCAGGTAAAGAATTCTGAGAACCTCTTCCCTCACCGAAAAAAAGAAATCAAAATCACACATGTCTACACGGCCAAGGCCACAGTACGAAGCCTTGCCAAGACACTATTCTCTCTGGAGTTACAGACATTATGGGCAATAAGCAAGGCACACGTTTCACTCTCAAAATAAACAGTGCCACTCTTGAAAGATGCAATAACACTTGTACATTCTTAACGGGATTCTTCTTTTAGCGGCATTAACCTCTCTCTGTTGTCACCCAGACACTTCCACAAATTGAAATCCTTTGAGTACATACAACAAAGTTGTGTGAGAATTACATGAGTGGAAGATGGACAGTGCCTGGAACAGGCCTGACACCGAACCGGTGCTCTGGGGACCCGGAATGTGACTATTAACTGCTTTTCTTAAAAGTGATCCACTTTTTATTTTTCTCAGATTTCTTTAGAAAGGGAATCCTCATCAATCTGGTGAGTGGAAAACCCTAGAGCCACTTGCCTTGATGGCGGGTCGCCATGAAAACGCAGCAATAAATGAAAACAATGCTGTCTGTGCGGGGCTGTCAGCTGAAGGCTGTCCCGTTGTGGAAAAAGGGAAATTACCAACAGTTTGCAGGGTGTTAAGACGCTGTACTAAGCCAAACCAGACTTTCCCTCAAACACTCCAGAGGCAGGAAGAGAAGAAATAAAAGAGCGGCTTCCTTGGGTGTTTCTCAGTGCCAGCTGATGAAGTGTCCAAGCACTCT